TTCCTAGGCAGTATTCAGGCCTTTAATAATAGTTACACATTACAAACACATGATGAGTTGAGTAAAAAAAAAATTGCATCATATCACTTGGGACATTCCCATATGCACTACTTTCTCATCTTCAGCAGCCAAAAAATAGTCTAAGAATACCAGTAGGAGTTTGATTATGTGTCTGTTTTTGCCTTTCCTCTGAGTAGAGCAGTAGTTTTCAACTGGGAAGCACATCCCCTCCCCCCAGGTGGAGGGGAAGGGCAAGGAAGTTTCAAGAGGGGTGTCAAGCAATTTGTAAATTAAGTGTATTTGTGCTTGAAAACAAATCAGCGCTGCCAGCTTGATGTGGATAGTGATCTTCATTGTGCTTTGTCAAATATCAGACCAAAACAGTAGATATAATCAAGACAAAACGGTATCAACCATCACATTATTATTTGGACGTTACCAATCTGGTGAGTGTTACTTTCACGTTATTTGACATTTTCATATATCTTGATGTTTTTCTCCATGTTCTTGTTAATCTCTTCTTCTTCTTCTTCTTCTTCATTTTCACTGACTGTAAACTCCAGTTGAAAGTTCTGGATGTTCATCCACTTTTGGACTCTAGTCTTGTTCCATAACCTGTGTTGCATTTACATCCATTTTATAGATTTGGCTCACCTGTATGCAGACTGTTGGTTCCTTGCCTCTCAGGTAGATACACTCAGAAAAACTAGTCATGCATCAGCTATGATCTTCTGGGACTGAATGATTAAGAGGCTAAAACAAAACTGAAGTCTTCAAAATATAGTTATTTGGACGAATGAGAAGGCATCCTGCAAAGAGAAGAAAACTGAGAATCTTAGCAAAAGAAGAAAACAAACAGAATCTTAGCAAAAGAAAAAAACAAACAGAATCTTAGCAAAAAAAGAAAACAAACAGAATCTTAGCAAAAAAAGAAAACAAACAGAATCTTAGCAAAAAAAAGAAAACAAACAGAATCTTAGCAAAAGAAGAAAACAAACAGAATCTTAGCAAAAAAAGAAAACAGAGTCTTAGTAAAAGAATAAAACAAAGAAGTATTATTTAAAATCAGGACAGAATAAAACACTGAAAGATATTTAAGATATTTCAGCCATGTAAAGAGACACAATTCCTTGTTAAAGTTGGAGGGAAAAGTGGATGGGAAATGAGCAAAAAGAAGGCACATTTGAATGGACAATATCAAGAGATGAACTAAAAGAAGTTTACATATATGTACTGTGAGGAAGAATGACAGAGGATGTTCAAGATTCAATTAAAACACAAGTTTTTTGTTTAAAATCATTAAAACACATAATTTTGTTTATTTCAGAATCTTAGAACACAAGATTTTTGTTTTATCTAATAAACATTAGAATACAGGATTTTGTTTATTTACTATTTGTTAGAACATATGATTTTAGTTTATCTAAAAACCGTACACACCTGCATTTTTAAAAATCTAACTGTAGGAACATTGATTTTTGTTTAATAGCTGTAAGAGCACATGATTTTGTGTATCTATTACTGATAGCACATGTGATTTTGTTTATATAATAACTATCAGAAAACAAGATGTTGTTTGTCAAATAATTGATAAGACAGATGATTTTAGTTTATTTAATAACTGTTAGAATGCATGATTTTGTTTAATATTAATTGAAAAAAAAACACATTTTTTTTTTTTAATCATCAGACCACATATTATTAAATTAAATTAAAGAGGTAATTAAGTAGAGGACCTTTTTCAAAGCCTTCAGGTGTATTGGGCATATAGGGCTAGACCTAAATTTTATAGACCAATTGTCACTCATGCTGATTCAATTATATTAGCCCCCAAGTGACATGTCAAGCATTAAACCATTAAATTCAAGTACCCAAATATAATGTGATGAAAACATGCCCGGTAAAGTAAAGCTAAGACCCCTTTTTATGCCTTGGCCACATCGGGCATATGGAAAGAGGACCCATATATTTTACAGACCAATTGACACTAGGTGGGTAATGTATGTCAGCATTACATTGGCTGTCTTTATTTCCCCAGGGCATACATCCTGGTATCCATTTTAGACTAGGTCAACCTGCGATGCCCCACACCATGATAAAAATCCACGCAACCAGCAGTGGGTTTTGATCCCGGTACGTTGGAATTATGAGTCGGACTCGCAACGCCTAACCCACGGATGCTGCTTGGCCAGTAAGGGAATGATAAATTCAACAACTTCCATGCAAAGAATAATCTAAGTTCACTACATTTATATGGAGACTGGAAAGGCCATACATAAATACTTAGGTATAAAGATATGGAATGCAGGGAGACATGTTAGCTTCATGATTTTCCAACCATGGAAGAGTGAAGGGAGAGTTGTCAAGCATGTGTTTACTTATGTATCAACTCTAACACACAACAGTAACTGCAAAATGAGACTCAGAAAACAAGAGCAAGAGGTTATAATCACAGACAGTTTAGTACAGAGACATCTTTGTTCACTTGATGACCTAGAATCTGGTTTTTTTTTTAAAAAATGTTTTGAAACAGAACATTTCTTTTACCTTAGTATACCTCAGATTACATCACCCCCCCCCCCCCCCCCCCCCCCCCACACCCGAGTGTCGATTGGTCTATAAAATATAGGTTTACACCTACATGCTCAATACAACTGAAAGCATGGAATAGAGTCCTTTACTTAACCTGTATGCATCAGACTGGACATAGTAAACAGTTAACAATGCCTGGTAGTTGAGTAAGCAGAAGTTAACCCTTTTGCCTTGTGTCTCAGAAAGAAAAACAAACAAAGTCAGTGATCTGCATCAAGGAAATTTCTGGAAAACAGAATCCTCACATCAAAAATAAAACAGAATAAGAGCAGTATAATCAGTAAATACAAATGCAGCAGAGAATCCTTCTTCTCCTCTTTCTTCTCCTTATCTTCCATCTTGAACCTCAGCGAAAGAATTAACGAGTTATATCTCTCTGAGTCTAAAATAATTTATATCATGAATTATTTTTTATCCCATCAGCTGGTCACTGGTTACCATTTTTAGTATTAGGAAATTAAGACATCATAATTTTTATTGTTTAAAAAAAAAATATTTACCAGCAGGCAAACCCCAACTAAGTGTTAATTTTAACAAATGTAATCATTCCTGGTCATCATAAATACTTGCACAGGTGCAAACAGAACCAAACCAGTGCTGTCATGAACATTCCACTATAGCAAAGTCAATGAAGTGACATTTGTAAAGGGGGGGTGGACCAAACTGAAAGTGCCTGACTTGTTGCTTCTCAGACCGAAAGGGTTAAGATCTTGTGATGTAGTCATTTTAAAAAAAGGGTTTATCCTTTGGAATCTTAGAGATTGGGGACTTTTACAGCTCAGATCAGAAACAGAACTGTAATGGAAGACTACAGTGGTTTTGTTTTGATTTTAAGTGGTTTTAATACGGAGGTGATGGCTGTAACTTAAGAAAATAGTCTTGGGGTGAACAAAAACTATCACACAGGCAGGCTTTCTTAGCGACTCAAGAAGCTTGTTCAGAAATGTGATGAGCTTAGTTTGAAGATCGTAGCTGGAGCCTCTATGGATGTCAAAGCTGGTAATAATCAAGTTTTTTATTTGTATGCCCGGGTATGAGGATGTAAGAGACAATGAGCAAGCTGATAAGCCTGCTGGCAGGACTACTGAGACAAGTTAATGGGTAATGAAACCAACTGACACTCTGAATGCCCTGAGACACAGTGATTAAGTAAATTGAAGTATACGTGTGATTCTGCAACCGTTATGTTAAGAATATCTAAAAGAGATGCAGCAAGACAAAAGAACTATGCAGGAAGTCCCTGAAGAATAGTGAAGCCAACAAAGCTAATGTTGTCATGCTGATGGGTAAAGAGAAAAGAAAATCCAAGCACTTGTGGACTGAACTGTTCAATCTGTGACTAACTGAATTATGTTTTTAATTTGTAGAAACACTGACAATTATGAACCTCTTTTTAACTACAGTGAAAAGACAGAACACGCAATTGTAGGGACACATACCAAGCTGTAACAGTCTCTCAAAAACAATACTACAGGGCTCAGTAGAGGGTAAGAGAAAAGGAGGCAGACAGAGAAAGACCTGGACACAGAACTTGACTGACTGTACAGACCTTAGGCAGGCAACCACAAAGTCCATTACATTTGACCGTCACAGGTGGAGGGATCTGATCAGTCAGTCATTAGAACAGCAACTGGTGACCTAATTACATGCCATGTTATGGGATGATAAGTAAAATGTACACCTGTACAACTCTTTATCAACACCTTAAACATTAATACTAGAGGATATTGTAACTTAAAATACATGTAATGTAGATAATAAAGTCAAAAGGAATATAAAATAATTCGGTGCCCATTCTGGAAAGATAAAATATGCATAAATGTATATTACACGGACATGTACGTTTGTGGGTGTGAAAAAATTGTATTTCTGAAGCAAGTAGTTACATTTAGGATAAATAATACTTTTAACTGTCATGAATATCAGTATGGAAAAGTACCACATCTAGCTCCTAAATAATAAGCCTTTGAGCAATAATACAATTAATTTTATGGCAGGGTGGTGTGCTGTAAACCTTCATACCAGACAGTAGGCTCTAAAAGCAGAGATGATTTAAATCATTATCTTTTATCTCCCTAGCCAGAAAACTGACAGCTTTACAGACTAGAAATATCAGCCTGGACAATGCCTAGGTTCGATATCCATGTCTTGAGGCAAAAAAAAAAAGAAATTCATTAACCTCCTTAGTGTAACTGGCAAACAAGTGTCACATGACACAAAAGTTTGTCAGATGTTTTGAGGAAACTAATATAAGTTGGTGCTTGAAAAAAAAAAGATATATTTGTACATTTGCCAATGACATAAATCTTTGTCATTAAAAAACATAAAAGTTAAAATTGAAAGATTACTTTTTGAATTCTGACAGATCATTATCAAGGTAAATATTTATTGTTTTTTTTTTCTTTAACTTAGTCATTCTCCACATCATCATCAAATTCCTCCTCGTCATCTTCTTCATCTTCATCGAATGAATCAGAATCATCCAACAGTGAGTCTGCATGGGATCCTTTTTTCTTGACACGCAGGTTAAGTTTGTCTTCTAGGTCATCTCTGAGAAAGTAAAACGCTGTAATTACCATCAAAATACAAAACCTTTGAACTTATTAAACTTGTGTCAGCAACTTTTTCAGTACGGCCTGTGTCAGTAACTTTTTCAGTACAGCATGTATCAGTAACTCTTTCAATATGACATGTATCAGTAACTCTTTCAGTATGATATGTGTCAGTAACTCTTTCAGTATGACCTGTGTAAGTAACTTTTTCAGCACGGCCTGTGTCAGTAACTTTTTCAGTACGGCCTGTGTCAGTAACTTTTTCAGTACGGCCTGTGTCAGTGACTTTTTCAGTACAGCCTGTGTCAGTAACTCTTTCAGTACGACATGTGTCAGTAACTCTTTCAGTATGACCTGTTTCAGTAACTTTTTCAGTATGGTCTGTGTCAGTAACTATTTCAACACGGCCTGATTCAGTAACTTTTTCAGCACCGCCTGTGTCAGTAACTTTTTCAGCACGGTCTGTGTCAGTGACTTTTTTAGTACAGCCTGTGTCAGTAACTCTTTCAGTACGATATGTGTCAGTAACTCTTTCAGGATGACCTGTGTCAGTGACTTTTTCAGTACAGCCTGAGTCAGTAACTCTTTCAGTATGACCTGTGTCAGTAAGTCTTTTAGTACGGCCTGTGTCAGTAACTCTTTCAGTACAGACTGTGTTAGTAACTCTTTCAGTACGACATGTGTCAGTAACTCTTTCAGTATAGCCTGTGTCAGTAACTTTTTCAAAATGACCTGTGTCAGTAACTCTTTCAGTACGACATGTGTCAGTAACTTTTTCAGTAGGGCCTGTGTCAGTAACTTTTTCAGTATGACATGTGTCAGTAACTCTTTCAGTACGGCCTGTGTGAGTAACTCTTTCAGTACAACATGTGTCAGTAACTCTTTCAGTATGACCTGTGTCAGTAACTCTTTCAGTACAACATGTGTCAGTAACTCTTTCAGTATGGCCTGTGTCAGTAACTTTTTCAGCACGGCCTGTGTGAGTAACTCTTTCAGTACATCATGTGTCAGTAACTCTTTCAGTATGACCTGTGTCAGTAACTCTTTCAGTACAACATGTGTCAGTAACTCTTTCAGTATGGCCTGTGTCAGTAACTTTTTCAGCACGGCCTGTGTCAGTAACTCTTTCAGTACAACATGTGTCAGCAACTCTTTCAGTATGGCCTGTGTCAGTAACTTTTTCAGCACGGCCTGTGTCAGTAACTCTTTCAGTACGGCCTGTGTCAGTAACTCTTTCAGTATGACATGTGTCAGTAACTCTTTCAGTATGGCCTGTGTCAGTAACTTTTTCAGTACAACCTGTGTCAGTAACTTTTTCAGCACGGCCTGTGTTAGTAACTCATTCAGTATGATGCAGCTGTGACTTATAGCAGCTGAGCTGAAACAACAATAAATATTTTCTTCTTTCGTCTCCTTTGTCTTCGCTGGCTGTAAACACCGGCAGAAAGTTCTGCTTATTCATCTAACTCTAGACTTTATTCCTGTACCAGAATCTGAGTGTTGCGTGCACATACATTTTACATATCTGTCTTATTCCTAAGCAGACTGTCTGTTTCTGGCCTCTCTGGCAGATGTACTCTTCACTCAGAGGGATGCCTCTAATTAGTCACTTCCTGTGACTTGCTTGTTGGGGAGGCCGTGGGTTTAGTACTGCCTTCCCTGGGGCCATGGAACCCACACAAGGAAATAAATATTTTTATCTGAAGGAACTGAATGGAGACGCTAATGAGACAGAGAGAGAGTGGCTGAGGTACAGTGGTTAGACACTTGCCTATGGATCCAAAGTTTGCAGGTTCAGGTCCTGAGGATGCCAGACTTTTTTAAAAATTACCTTTGCTCATAGGCCAACCCAGCCTTAAATGAAAACCAGGTAAATTCCGGGGAAGTAAAGGTAGCTAGCATGATGCTGACCACATCACTTACTGAGTGCAGATTAGTCTATATTACATAGGTCTAAGCCCTATATTCACAATATGCCTAAAAACGGGAAAAAGGTCCTTTACTTTTTATTATTTTACAGAAGCTGTTGAAGTAACTATTTAGTTACAAAGGGTTGATATATGAGGGAACGTTAAAAGTGTGATAGAAATTACAGTAACCATGCCACTGTCTTGTAACCTGACAATATTGTTGTTAAGGATGCCAAGAGTGTTTAGTGCATGTCAAAAGTGGGGTGACCACCTTTGTCATTGTGACAACACTGAATTTGTCTGCACAAATTTAATGACATGCCTGTTGGGGGAGAGAGTGGAGGGAGGGGGTCTATTCTTTTTCCCTTTCAAATGGAGCCCTAGAACCCACATGGGGATGGCAGCGTTAAGAACTGATATCACAGCACTCAGAACATTTATAAAAGTGCTCCATCCACACCTTCAGCAGTCAGTGCAGAGTTCCAATTCAGATGGTACCAGTAAACCAGTAACAGTCTGAATGTATGTCCATCTCACATTTCCCTGAGTGATGAGGGTCGGCCAGATCCCCTGGCAGTATCTATCAAATGACTCATTATCGATCAGAACAATGCTCTCATCACAGCACACCTAAAAGTCTCTTTCTCTAGCCAATTCTCCAACCCTGTGTGCTTTCATAGCCAATACAAATTCGTGTGTTAATCCACTATTGCAAAGGTCTGCCTCTGCCTCATTTTTCGGAAACCTTTGTTGCCTTCACTGTTGTCTTCAGGCCACCATGACATTTAGCATCAATAAAATACCTGAGTTTTTGGGAAAGGATGGTCTTTATGAGCCAGTTTTCCTCAACATTCAGATCATATAGGATGTTGGTGTTTTTCTTCTACTTGGTCCATGGTCTGTTGCTTTGATGATTGAGTCCATTACTACCTTAACATCGTACTCATTTTATGGGGCTGTCTTTGGCCCACAACCACTTTCACTGAGACTATTACAACTGAGAATATACCCCAAAATTCTCTAGATCCCTTCTCTGCGTTTCTGCTATGTCTTTATTTATCCGACCCTGTGGGTTCCAGTGTAAAGACATTTTAGTTATAGTTATCAGGTTATTTCAAGTTATGTCCTGTCTAAAGACACTTCAGAATCAAAGTTATACCAATAATATTCGGCCATTACAGATAACTCTCCCTGTTTGTTTTCGTCATCAGACCCTGCCTGATAAACACAAAACTTACTCAATGTCATCAGGGGTTGGTTCGGTAGCTGTTGCAAGATCTGGATCAAATACAGGCCTCTGCTGGTCATAGCCTCCCTTCTGTGTGGCCAGCTTCAGAAGAGTTTCACAAAATTTGTGCCCCATCTCCTCCAGCATTGTTGTGTTCATCTGTATATCCTAAACAAAGCACAACAAGCATGTGATAAGGGCACAGACAAGTGTGTTAACATAGACAGCTATATATTTATATATACAGACAGAAACAGAGGTGGTGAAAGAGAATGACAGACAAACAGAGGTAGTGAGAGATACAGAAAGAAAAGCAGGTATGCAGACAGTGACACAGACAGGAAAACACAGAGTGAGTGCATAAAGAAATGCTTACTTATTTTAGCAAAGTTTAATCCAGACACCAAGGGTTCAGTATAATTTACCTTTCCATTTTACAACAATTACAATAAATGCCTCACATGGTTACCATTAGCACCCAGGCAATTATGACAGCGAATTACTTGGAAACTTACTTTCTGAAACCTACATCCCAGCAATTCACCAGGACACTTTGACCAACTCTGTCCAAACATATCTTTTGTGTGCACAATGAAAAAATAATGGCTCTTTGGCTTTCAGGTTAGTGAAATCATTTCACAATGCAATGCTCGTTGAATGAATGTCAGGTCTTGGTCAGAAATGACTGAGCTAGTGTATAACAGTAGCGGGTACTAATTGTCTTCTGTTAACGGCGAATGTTGGGCGACGTATACCAAACCTGACATCATCTATTGTGACAACGGCTTTGGATGGAGAAGCACATTAGGAGGATACTAGCCTTATCCTAGGGATAGGAAATACAACCTGAAAACTTTGTTACGAAAGGACAGACCAGGCCCTTAGCCTTGGCTGGCAGCTGATCTAGGATGGAAGCTCGGACAGGCAGACATAGCACTGCTCTTCTGATCCGGCAGCTTCTGCAGCCTGCTTTGTTCCAAACATACTGGTGTTACCTTTGCTTTGGAGTAAACAAGGCAGCTCATGAGAAAGATCATGATGCATTGGCAACATATGGTCTCCAAAATACTGTCCAGGCTTTGCGCTACGGAGATGAGGAGCTTCATCCCTAACGTTAATTATACAACAGATTTCTTAATGCTCAGTCTACAAAGGCTCAGATGGCTGGATCATACCTGGAGAATGGAGAAAAGGAAGAGTCCCTAAAGACACCTTCTATGGTGAATTAATGATGGGTAGAAAATGTATAGGCAGACCTCTACTATGATATAAATATGTGTGCAAGAGGGACATGAATGACACATATAATGAGGTGGACTCGTGGGAACAAAATGCCATGGACCATGTTGTGTGGAGGGGGTACATCAGGAAGGGAATGAAAATGAAGGAAGAAATGATTGCATGAAAGTTGAGCATCTGAGAAGTCACACTAAACACTAATGTTGACAACAATGGTCCTGAAATCCCATGCTATAATTGTGAAAGACTTTTCCTAACAAAGGCGGGTCTTGCTAGTCACACTCACCATTGCTATGGACTGTAAGTCCCATGTCTCCTCATAGCACTAAATAATAATATCATCTGGAAAGACGGAAAGGTGCCGCCAGTCACTGGCTGTTTATCAGGGTTCCATTTTGGCAGGTAATAGTTTAGAAAAAGAACATTCCTATGGTTTTCAGAGAGCTGTATGAGAGTCACACTGGGGTCTTAACACATAATATTCTCATAGTTAGCCCATGGATATACTCTAGCCAACTTGCAATGTGGACATAACACAATTAACAAATTTTTAGAATGAAAAAAAAAGTGTTTATATAATTATCAATCACCTTGTACTTTCCTTGGTCACAGCCGCAGTAGCTTGACTCCATCGTATAAGACCTGACAACCCCAATATGCCTCCACACAACCACTCGAGCTGTGTTTTCTTTGCATTTCTCCACCATAAAACTGCAGTTCTTAAGACAGAATGATGGACAGTTTGCATCCAGCAGGCGAGGAAGTTGCTAAAAGTAAGAAAGTAAACAGAATTGATAACTGCAGAGGAATCAAACCAGAGGCTATAAAGTACACTTAACAAACATGCAGGACAGAATAAAAGTTCTAGACAGAATGTTCTTGCTGAAACTGTCCAGAAATCACATTCCATATGTACAATGCAGCCACCTTTCCATGAAACCTTCCTCTTCTTCTTTTGCAATAACTGTTAAATGGGCAGTAGGCGTGTTGTGCAGTGGTGTTTGAACTGCAATATCTGCACCTTCCAATCCAACACATCTGAAATCAGCACCCCACTAATTAGTCACCTTCTAGGAAAAGCTTATTTAGAGGCAGTGGGTCTGTTCTCTCCCCCCCCCCCCCCCCCCCCCCCCCCCCCCCCCTAAAATGTGGCCCTGGAATTGACATGGGAACTTAAAACTTTCAAACACCAAGAAAAATTAAATAATATTAACCCAATATACAGTGGTACCTTGGTATTCATCAACTGTGGTATCAGTTATGAGTTGGATTATTTTGAAATATACTCGCATGACAGAATTTTTTTGAATCAAAATGAGTCATAAAACAATGCACTAGCCTTGTTTACCTCCCTCATTAATCAAAGAAATATTTGCCAAAGGGGATGGATGTCAAAAACTTTGCAGAGAACAACCCCAAAAAAACCTAAACAAGCTGTAATAGCAATGTCTGGAATGACCAGACAATGTTGCATTTCCGAAACATCCTGCGGATAAGACAGAAGCAAAGTTTTTTGGACAGATTTTTAGTAAAAATAAAACATGGTGAGCCTCAATCAGGTCCAGCCAGGAGAGAGAGACAGAAAAAAAGTAAGAGGAAAAAAACACACCAGAATTTCAGATTCCTTAAGTTGTATTAGAAGATCTCAGCACCACCCTAGCAGGCACTCAACTCTTCTTAGTAAGGTGAAGTGAGGTTACATTTCCATCTATTTCATTTAACTGCTTTTGCATTTATGTACTTTAGCATTAAGCAGTGTTTGAATTATTTTTCACAACCCCATCAATGTATAATATGCCAAAAAATATAGGATTTTTTCATTTGAACAGATAAATCATTCTCTTTATTTCTTATAGGCAAATTCATCTATACATCCTGTTTGGAATACATCCAAGGATCTGGAATGGATTAAGGATGTCTATACTGAAGTACCATTCAATGCATAGAAAAAAAGGTCCTTTGATTTACTTTAATTAAAGGCTTTCATTCTTAAATTGTTCTGCTTTCCCTGTTTTAATAATCTGATATTTCAAGACCATTATTTTGGTTTTTAAAATGTAAATATTTTAACTCATTTAGACTGAAACATTAATGACTCAAAAGTAATAATGTCTTTCGAAAAAATGACTAAAAGTAACAGCTGTTTAAGAGTTTAAAAAAAATTTTTTTTTTAAACACACCCTAAAGTAAAATAACTAAAGATTAAGTATTTATAGATATAACATACAGATCAATGGCTTTTCTGTAACAATAAAATGTTATGCATGATTCGCAAACTATGACAGGCAATAAATTGTGCAATGTACCGTTTGTGTCCGCATCATTTCAACTCTCTTTGAAAAAATCGTAATATTTCACCTTTTTAAAAGCAACTATTAACAAAGTCTTAGAAAGTACGGGACCTCAGAAGCTGCTATACTGTCAAACAATGAATCATGAGAAGAATTTTCGTGAAATGGCAGGTGGATTAACAAAAACCAAAACATAGTGACATCAGAGAAAGCCTGACCTTGTAGCTGAAGTCTGTAGGCCTACTGCCACAACAGGCTGGGTTCTGAGTGTCGTTAGCGATCCACGTCTGATTGGGGCTACAACCGTACAAGAAGATGTTTTTACGTCTGGAATGTCCATGGTAGTCACAGTATACCTGTCGAAGAAACAATCATGTCATCAAACTCATCATGCTTGTGCCACTGCCCCCCAACACCCGGTGCTGTTAATGGCAACTAATGAGGGATTTTCTGAAACTGTATGTGTTGAGATATTGCAGCCCAGTTGTTAACTAAAACATGATATTCCAATCACTTTTTAAAGGGTGAACACAAAAGAGGAGGGGGAGGAGGAAAAGGAGAAGAAGAAGAAGAAGAAGAAGAAGAAAAAGAAGAAGAAGAAGAAGAAGAAGAAGAAGAAGAAGAAGAGGAAGAGGAAGAGGAGGAGGGGGAGGAGGAGAAGGAGGAGGAGAAGAAAGAGGATGAGGAAGAGGAGAATGGGGTGAAGAAGAGGAGAAGGAGGTGAAGGAGGAGGAAAAGAAGAAGAAGAAGAAGAAGAAGAAAAAGAAGAAGAAGAAGAGGAAGAGGAAGAGGAGAAGAAGGAGGAGAAGAAGAAGAAGAAGGAGGTGGCGGAGAAGAAAAAAAAAAGAAGAAGAAGAAGAAGAAGGAGGAGAGCAAGGAGGAGAAGGAGGAGGAGGAGAAGGAGAAGAAGAAGAAGAAGAAGAAGAAGAAGAAAAGGGGGGGGGGGGATATTTTATCACCAATATAAAAGTTATTTTTATACAAAATAGAGGATCATACAAAATACTCCTCTAAAAAAATCCTGTTCAACCCTCAGGGTTACAATTGGGATATAAAGTGTTCATGAGTTCTCTAAGTATATATTTGTTATTTTATATATCATGTAATTATTTACTTAAGAAAATAATATAAATTATATTACTTCAAATATTACTTTGTTTACCCCTTTCTGGCCTTTGATTGAAACAGACTGTAATATGAACATTTAGATAATCTTACTAATATTGTGTCCTTAAATGTTTTCATGATATAGAATAACATGTAAACAGCCTGTGACTCCAAAATCACTTTTTTTTTCTATTCTGTGATCATGGACTTGCTGGTATCTGCACTAGCAACAAGAGGAACTAGGTAGCTTTCATAAACAAATTCAACAGCTAATACTTCCAGTTCAAGGACTTGCTGGCATCTGCACTAGCAACAAGAGGAACTAGGTAGCTTTCATAAACAAATTCAACAGCTAATACTTCCAGTTCAAGGACTTGCTGGCATCTGCACTAGCAACAAGAGGAACTCTTTCATAAACAATTCAACAGCTAATACTTCCAGTTCAAGGACTTGCTGGCATCTGCACTCTAGGTAGCTTTCATAAACAAGGTTCAAGGACTTGCTGGCATCTGCACTAGCAACAAGAGGAACTAGGTAGCTTTCATAAACAAATTCAACAGCTAATAAGAATACTGCCAATTCAGTCACAAACAAATGATGAGTCATCAACTCATGTTCTTGGTCTGCTATTCTTTTTTTTTTTTTTTCCATCATTTAAAGTTTTTCAAGTGAAAAAAAAAAAAATTCATAATTCTAGGCTGAATAAATCTGTTTCAACTGTTACCAAAAATCATGAGTCAGTAACAATTACTTTATAGCTTATAAGCCAATCTGTATGAAAATTAATAAATTACAATAGTACAATCTTATCAGTCAGTAAAAAAAAAAATGCTTGTAACATCAAAGCCAACTGTTTGTAAATAAATGAAAACTAAAACGATAAACGAATCAGTAAAAAGTTTTTTTATAACCTATTAGCCACTCTGCTCCTAGATAAATCAGTTAAACAAACAACAACAAAACCCAGTTAATCAACTCCCTTAAAAAACAATATATCATCCCTATATAAATCAGTAACAAAAGCCATAAGTCAATCAGTCCAAAAACAGTGTACATAATTCTCTAAGCTATAATAGACCAGGAAATGAATACAGTAACTAAAAATAGCATTAAGGTTAGTTAACCTATGACCCCACTGGCTTTTTTTTTTAAAACCTAAGTTGATGTCTAATTTTCCCGTGGGCCTCAGTGATAGAAGTAACAGTGTTAAGTCATGAGTCATCCAATTCACACCATTTTGTTTAGACCTAGGAAATGTATTCCATTTAATTGTTTCTCTCTGTTCATGTTTTTTTTATTACCCCTTTTATATTTCTTCATATATTTCAGAGAAAAAAAAAATGTAAATGTAGATTGATTAAAAAAAAAATTTTAATTTATTTGTGACCTGTGTAAAATGTTTTTTTAAGAACTTTTCCTGAAGTTCCAACAGATTCATGACCCATTTTTTTTTTTTTTTTTCATTATAGGACAAAAGGCTTAAAGGTACTGCCATACTAGGTCAGCCCTGTCTTTCAATTCCTTGCCCTTCAACCTACCATGGGTGTTTTATTGATCATGTGAAGGTACTGCAGCAGGCCTTTAGTGTGGTAGATAGTTGGATGCAGGATTTTACATGGCCTTCCCCAGCGTCGATTTAAATCTTCTCCCACAAGAGATGAGCGATGGCTGTAACGAAAGCAAAAATTTGAATCAAAATAAGTTACCTTTTTTCAACTAAAAGCTGACATATCAATGCATCAGGAGTTTAGAGATATTTTGTTTCATTACATTTTCCTGCCAATTACTGCATGCATTTACCACTTTTGCGGTGCAGGCAGTTTGGGGAGAGGTGGGACTGGGAGGGTCTTTGGGTCTTAGGATTTAAGGCCACATGGCTAGTGCTGTCACTTAAATCTGTGCAGGTTAGGATTTTATTTTGCCTCTGACAGAAAATAAATTTACAATCTTACAAAGGATATAAACCTGGGTCACCTGCAAGAGAGCCAGCGTTCTTAAACTTTCAGCCAGCCGCTCTTCTTACATTTCACTCATACTGTAATGCTTTTTCCAAACGAAGTCATGAGTTTACATATATATATATAGCTAATGAGTTGAGTGCATGGTGCGACACTATGAGCTGCTGATTTCATTCAGAATGTTTTTCATTTGTGACCAACTTGGTGTTGCTAACCATAAATTCAGAAAATGGAATGTGGTCTGCTGCCACAGAACCAGTGGTGCCATTATATGATTAAAATTGATCATGTTTGCGACTGCTGATCTGTTGTAACTTCTGCTTCTGTCAATGCTGAACTGCATTTGTTTGTAAGGTAAAATTCCCCATATATATAAACTAGCACTTCTAATGGCTGCCTTATGCTTTAAATGTCTATGTATGCTAGCGGATAGGCTGAGACTACAGTCTGTGTCCATTTTTTCCACAAGGGACTGTGATGAACATTATGTGTGTTTTTCGTTGGCACAGGAGCGGAGCAACGCTGAAACTAAGATTACGAGATTACAGGATATATATGGTGAGTATTTTGTAGCTGGGGGTTAGGATACTAGCATGGGTTCTCCTCATGTAGGCAACAGGGTCCCATTATGGAAGGGGGGGAATAGCAAGTATGCAGTAAAAGGCAACTAATAAAGGTTTTGCTGAGATCACATGTGTTTGGTTTGGCCAGAAAGTGCAGATATCATCAAGGAGCCTTCTCCACACCTTTAGGCGTACTGGGCACATACAGCTAGACCTATATTTATAGACCGATCAGCACTCGGCAGGTGATGTGTCAACATCGTGCTGACTGCCTTTACTTCCCAGGACTTTACCTGACATGCAGTTAAGGCTGGGTCGACCTGGGAGCCAAGGCCATTTTTGAAAAAGTCTGGCTCCATTAGGATTTGAACACATGACCTTCAGATCCACAGGCGAGCATCTAGCCACTACACCACAGTGGCTACAACAGATATTACAGCCTAGCTATAAGCCACAACACAATGTGCCAACCGTCTCTTCAGAGCTAATACACAGGAAGAAAAATATATCAACTCACTTTCCATTGACAACTCCATCAGGATTTAACATGGGCACAATCTTGAAAATGTACCTCTCTCTGACTTGTTGGGCTTGAGGCTTCTTGCTTAGCAAAAAATCTATTGTCCCTGTGAAGAGAATATATTTAAACCTTACTGTCCCAGTAAAGAGAATATATTTAAACCCCACTGTCCCAGTAAAGAGAATATATTTAAACCCCACTGTCCCAGTAAAGAGAATATTTTTAAATATCACTGTCTCAGTAAAGTGAATATATTCAAACCTCATTGCCCCTGTGAAGAGAATATATTTAAACCCCACTGTCCCAGTAAAGAGAATATATTTAAATATCACTGTCTCAGTAAAGTGAATATATTCAAACCTCATTGCCCCTGTGAAGAGAATATACTTAAACCTCACTGTTCCAGTAAAGAGAATATTTTTAAATATCACTGTCTCAGTAAAGTGAATATATTCAAACCTCATTGCCCCTGTGAAGAGAATATATTTAAACCCCACTGTCCCAGTAAAGAGAATATATTTAAATATCACTGTCCCAGTAAAGAGAATATATTTAAACCTCATTGCCCCTGTGAAGAGAATATATTTAAACCTCACTGTCCCAGTAAAGAAATTATATTTAAATATCACTGTCCCTGTAAAGATAATAAATTTTAATATCACTATCCCTGAGAGAATGTATTTAAACTGTAAAAAAAAATTAATATATTAAAACCTCAATGTCCTTGTAAACAGAATATTTTAAACCTCATTCTTCCTGTAAACATAAAAAGGTAAAGTCAGGAGATGTGAACCAGCGTCATTGCACACGGTTATAAACCATAAGAGCTCTGCCACCAGTATAGACAGCTGATAAGAAACTCCGCCTGTGTCGCCGTTCACACAAAACTCTGTAGCTACAGCGACGTTCCTCCATTTATCCCAGAGTGTCAACTCTAGTACCCATTTCCTAGAGGCTGGGTGAACCCCGGATACCGCCCGGTTTCGAACACCGGCTGTGACTGGATTTGAAAGCAAGCCTCTTATCCAATGCGCTAACGCGGCCCCCGAGTTTATCTGGCCTACATCTCTTTTCAATTAACAAAAAAACAAAGCCAAAAAAAATACATAGCACCCTCTTGGAATATATTTTCTGTAATCAAATTAAATAAAAGCTGACATGGTAAATATGGAAAAGTAAGTAATCACTTCTGGTTTAACTGTTACAGAACAAATGAAACAAAAGTTTCAAAAGTTGTTTCAACGTTTTTTTTTATGTTTCCAACACCCCTTTACCCCTTATTATTATTCAACTACCCCCTCCCCTTTCATCTTCCAAATTGTACCCAAGGCTACTCCTGCTGCCTACTAGATCGTTCCAATATTCTTTTCTCCAATTGTGATGATAGCTATCACCGCCCCTGGATCGTTCCAACATTCTTTTCCCCAATTGTGCCAATAGCTATCACCGCCCCTGGATCGTTCCAACATTCTTTTCCCCAATTGCACTGATAGCTATCACCACCCCTGGATCGTTCCAACTTTCTTTCCCCCAATTGCGCCGATAGCTATCACAGCCCCTTGATCGTTCCAACATTCTTTCCCCCAATTGCACCTATAGCTATCACTGCCCCTGGATCGTTCCAACATTCTTTCCCCCAATTGCACTGATAGCTATCACCGCCCCTGGATTGTTCCAACATTCTTTCTCCCAATTGCGCCGATAGCTATCACCGCCCCTGGATCGTTCTAACATTCTTTCCCCCAATTGCACCTATAGCTATCACCGCCCCTGGATCATTCCAACATTCTTTCCCCCAATTTGGCCGATAGCTATCACTGCCCCTGGATCATTCCAACATTCTTTCCCCCAATTTGGCCGATAGCTATCACCGCCCATGGATCGTTCCAACAATCTTTCCCCCAATTGCACCTATAGCTATCACCACCCCTGGATCGTTCCAACATTTTTCCCCCCAATTGCACCAATAGCTATCACCGCCCCTGGATCATTCCAACATTCTTTCCCCCAATTGCACCTATAGCTATCACCACCCCTGGATCGTTCCAACATTTTTCCCCCCAATTGCACCGATAGCTATCACCGCCTCTGGATCGTTCCAGCAACTTTCTGGGAGAGCAACTGCTCATGGCCCCACTCAGAGAAACCATGTCAGATAGATTTCCACACTGTGGCCTGAAAGTTCAGTGACCTGTTTTTCCATGTAAATATGTTTTACAATCCAATCTTCACCAATAATAATCTGAATGGCATAGACCTAAGGATTGGGGGGAGAGGGTGAGACACTGACCTGATCTGTGGCTATAGTCGATTGTGTGGGATGGTGAAAAATGACAGAATGCACTTAGCAGCATGACACATGATGATGATGATATTATAACAAATTTATAGTCATTATTTCTTTGTTACTAATATGGCCCTAGGATTAAACTGGTCTAATAAAAATGGGTACCAGATAAAGTCCTGGGAAGTAAAGGTGACTGGCCTGATGTTAACCCTATCACCCAATGAGTGCCAATTGATCTTTAAAATATAGGTCTGGCTCAAAAAGCCTAAAGGTGTGGAAGAGTGTAAAATATAAGGTCTAACATTCCATGCCCCAAAAGTAGTATCTGTCATGAGATCACTTTAAAAAAAAAAAGTATGTTCTTACAAACCTTTCATTACCCAGCTTGCATTGCTTTCTCCAGGATGGACTCGCCCACTCAAGAAAATGTATGGTCTGCTACCTGTGGGCAGAATGTCATCAACACTGATAAATGTCTCAAAAAGAATTACATATTTCAAATACAGTAGTTCACAATATCAAAGTACAGCTCACTTCTTCTTCTGCCTTCTATTCTCCAATGAAGCATAGGCCCTTAACCAACTCAGGCCAAGCCATTTATCCTTTGCTAATGCATGCAGCTGGGGAGTTGCCGTAGCTGAGCGGCTAGACGCTCACCGCCGATGGGAAGGTCGTGAGTTCGCTTCCCTGGCGGAGCTGGACTATTTTCAAAAATGAGTGGGTACCGGGTGCAGTCCCGGGAAGTTAAGGCAGCCGGCATGATGCTGACCACATCACCCATCTTGTGCCGATTGGTCTAAAAAAATATAGGTCTAGCCCTATATGCCCTATATGCCTAAAGGCGTGAAAAAGGGTCCTTTACTTACTTTACTTAATGCATGCAGCTCACCCCATGTCGGCCCCATATTTTTCACCTGACTCTCTTTCTTCCTTCTCAATCTGTTTTTGATTTGCCTTTATTTCTATTCCCTCGTGGCTTCCAGTGCACAGACATTCTTGTTATATTGTTCTCAGGTTTTCTCAACGCGACTCCTATCCAGTGCCAGCATCTTTTCTTCACCTCTTGGTCCACAGGAACGTTTCTTCTGCTTTCGCTTTCGCTTCAAATGGCTGGTTGGCACATGCTGCTGTGGTAAACAGCTGGGCTGTAGCCTTTTAGCCTAATATATCTTATTTCAGAAAATCCCTAACCAGCTTGCCTGTTACAACATGCTTGTTTAGGGGAAGAGTGGGGGGATGGGGTGGGGGTGGCTACTGTTTTTTTCATCCTGAAATGTGGCCCTGGGACTCATACAATGAGAATAGCTCATGTACATGTCATCAAATCTACTGGGAATTAGGCCCCAATATTTTCCATGACTAGATGACACAGAAATGGTCACATGGTCCATGACTAGATGACACAGAAATGGTCACATGGTCAATGGCAGATGACACATAAATGGTCACATGGTCCATGACTAGATGACACAGAAATGGTCACATGGTCCATGACTAGATGACACAGAAATGGTCACATGGTCAATGGCAGATGACACAGAAATGGTCACATGGTCAATGGCAGATGACACAGAAATGGTCACATGGTCAATGGCAGATGACACAGAAATGGTCACATGGTCCATGACTAGATGACACAGAAATGGTCACATGGTCAATGGCAGATGACACATAAATGGTCACATGGTCCATGACTAGATGACACAGAAATGGTCACATGGTCCATGACTAGATGACACAGAAATGGTCACATGGTCCATGACTAGATGACACAGAAATGGTCACATGGTCAATGGCAGATGACACAGAAATGGTCACATGGTCCATGACTAGATGACACAGAAATGGTCACATGGTCAATGGCAGATGACACATAAATGGTCACATGGTCCATGACTAGATGACACAGAAATGGTCACATGGTCAATGGCAAGTTTTACTTTTCCACCGAAATCTCAAATACTCATGAGGCTGGAATTCTGTTACATTTTGAGTCAAAACTATGCCAATTCTGTGTCAAAATTATACCAACTGTGAGTCACAGTTGCTTGCTTGCATGTTGTACCCCATCAGGACATCACACAAGCGATAAATACCAAGTGACACCAAGCAGATGAGGATCACCCGTGGAGAGGTCCCAGAAACCCCTTTCAGCCATTATGGACACAATTGTGGCCAAGCTATATTCAGGTCCCCCAGCAAAAGACAGGGTGGGGCTTCAAATAATGAAAAATTGCATCCCATAAGGGGACGACTTTTGTCACAGTTATGCCAACCCTGCCTCTGTGCTGGAACCTATCCCCAGATGCAGTGTGTTCATAATGTTGGCACTATGTGGTATAAAGTCTATATTTATTATTAAAGGTGGTTTTTAAAATCTGAATAAATGTGAGCAGATTCACTGCAGTGCCAGAAGTTTTATCCCATCTGGCCTCTCTCTCTCTCTCTCTCTCTCTCTCTCTCTCTCTCTCTCTCTCTCTCTCTCTCTCTCTCTCTCTCTCTCTCTCTCTCTCTCTCTCTCTCTCTCTCTCTCTCTCTCTCTCTCTCTCTCTTCTCTCCTTCTGCAGAATCACTGGCTGAAGGCTAAGAACACTGCACAAGTCATGAACTTTGTAGCCCCATTAACGATTCCTAAAGATCTCATTTAAAATTTCACCTTTCCTGTATTTAAGGAGAAACTCTAAGGATAAGTCAGCAACATCACGTTGCTCTTTTTTAAATATTTTTTTTAATACTCAGGTTGACGACTAGAAAAACAGTCTTTGAGCCTCAGTTAAACTGTCTTCAGCCTCAGCTACAGAAACAGTCTTGGAGCCTGTGTTAGAAAAACAGTCTTCGAGCCTCAGCTAGAGAAACAGTCTTTGAGCCTCAGTTAGAAAAACAGTCCCTAAGCCTCAGCTAGAGATACAGTCTTTGAGCCTCAGTTAGAAAAACAGTCCCTAAGCCTCAGCTAGAGAAGCAGTCTTTGAGCCTCAATCAAAGAAACAATTTCAGCCTCAATTAGAAAAGCAGTCTTAGAGCCTCAGAGAAACAGTCTTTGAGCCTCAGTCAGAGAGTCTCTGAGCCTGAGCTAAACAGTCTTTGGGACTCAGGTAGAGAAACAGTCTTTGAGCCTAAAGAGAAACATTCTTTGAGCCTCAGAGATATAGTCTTTGAGCCTGAGCTAAATAAAGTCTTTAAGCCTCAGTCAGAGAAACAGTCTTTGAGCCTCAGTCAGAGAAACAGTCTTTGAGCCTCAGTCAGAGAAACAGTCTTTGAGCCTCAGAGAAGTAGTCTTTGAGCCTGAGCTAAAAAGTCTTTAGGCACAGGAAGAGAAACCGTTTTTGAATTTCAGCAAACTAAAATTGTAGAAATACAGAAAAGAATAGACAAGAGTTAAAATATCCATTATGGTAGAAAGCATGAAAATAACAGAAGAATAGGACAGAAGTTAGTCAATTTATATCATGTATTGAGTACTCGAGGAGTGGCTGGTCGAATGGTCAGAACTATCACCTCTTGCCACAGGAGTCCTGAGCCCCATCCTCAGTAAGGTTGGAGATTTTTTCTTCTGTCACCTGCACAGTCTGTGGCAACAGCACTAGCCATGCTATCCTCAGGCTCAAAGACACCCTCCCCCCCCCCCCCCCCCCCCCACTTCCCCAACCTATGCAACAATGTGGTAAATAAGGCAGTAATGACAGTTTTGTTTTATATAGTAATCAATAAATCTACAGTGAATTGCTTAGTCTCGACTGAGTCAAACAAGCTCTTTTAACTACTGGCTTAAAGAAGAAGTTTCAGCTATTTCCTTAAACAAGCTGTTTCAACTACTGGCTTAAACAAGCTGTATTAACTATTGGTTTGAAGAAGTTGTTTTAACTATTTTCTTAAACAAATTGTTTAAACCACTGCTTTAAATAAAATGTTTTTATTATTGATTTAAACAAATTATTTCAACTACTGGCTTAACAAGTTGTTCCATCAACTGCCATAAACAAACTGCTTCAACTACAGCCTTAAACAAACTGTTACTTCTAATGCTATTACTTTACTCAGCACTTGGTTATATAATAAGACCAAAAAAGATTAGTGATAAGTAAGGACCATCATCCTAGCACTCTACATAGATCCATAGGTACTCAGTTGTCCTACTCAGTAGCGTAAAAACAACAAAACAGATAGGTTAAAAAGCAAGTAAATGAAGGCAGGCAAGGAAGAAAGCCTCAATTCGAGCAAACTTACGCAGCTCCTCCAATCCTTCTGTATCCACACTGCGAGGCTGAGCTGTGATGGTTAGAACTGGGACAGAGTTACCTCCCAGGGTGGTGCACAGGCTTTGATTGCGAAAGAAGATGGCACTGCGATCGTACTGTTGTTCCCACTGTTTTAAGTGTGTCTGTGGGAAAGAGGACATGTGTTGCATAAACAGTAACATAAATCTGAGTCTGCACTGAATCTAGTTATTTGACCCCCTGGACATTTAAACAAATTCACAAAGTCTTCTAATTTCTTCTACTTCTCCTTCTCTTTCTCTAATTTCCTAGTGTAGAGTTTGAGAGAATCACAAGGTTGCCTGATTATTATATTTTAATAAACGAAATTTTGAAGAAAACAAGTCATGTTTTTATACTTGTATGGGGTGAAAAGGTTTACAAATGTTTATGACATGCTAAAATTCAATAAACTCAAGATGTGTGTCTTGGTAATAAAGGAAATAAAACAATGTTTCCCTTTCATAAATATTTTAAAAGAAGAGAGAAATCATGAATAACATACTGCACTATTTATTGCCTAGAATATTTGACTAAAGCTCATGAGTCCGCATTTTTACTGGTAGAACAGTTACTTTTATGTTTAGTTGATTGTGTATTTCAATTAAAAGGTACATTCTTTCACTTCATTGTATTCAGTTGTTACAGTAATTACACACAATGAGATACAGCACAATAAGCCAGGTAATAAAATATGCCAGGTAATCTACTGTTTCTGTCTTCTTTGTTCAAGTATAGAGAGATGTTTTGTCCTGAAATAGTTCATATCTAGAGTACACTGAATTAATGTAAGAAAGTATAAGAAACAGGAAAATCCTACCTGCAATGCTGTGTAAGAGTAGGGGTAGTGATAACTGATGTAGCAGACGTCAGCTGAATGAGGAAAGGTCACAGAGAATGTGGCTGTGAAATAGGTCTTGCCCTGGACACCTCCCGTGGTGCTGGTGTTGCGGATGAAATGATTTTTATAGTAGCAGATATCTGAGCCGACCCTTTGCCAGAAGGCATTACCCTGGGCAGCTTCCGTCACTGACATCATCAAAGGCTGCATACCTGCAACATGAATGGTTCAGTTATATTCTTTAACAAGCAATTTACCTGAGGTTTACTGACTGCTATATAGGCAATGGAATATCAGAAAAACATTTAAACATCAAAGTTAACTCTTTCACCTCTAAAACTCAAGACTCAAGGGTAGTGTGTGTGTGTGTGTGTGTGCGAGCTTGCGTGCGTGCGTGCGTGCTCGCATGCGTGCATGTGTGTTGTTTTTTTTTACAAACCGACAAAATCCTTTTTAAGAAAAAACACTTTTACGCAGATTACTTACAAATTATTATTTATATATGTAAAGATCCATCTGTATTGCAAGTGTCAAGGGTCTACTTTTGGTGGGTAGGTGTCAAGAATACTAGCTACTGGCTGCTAGGTCAGAGGTCATTGCCAAGGGGTTGTGTCTTAAGAACATAAATAATGAGAGTTTACCACGAACAACTTGTGCTCCAAGGGCAACGAGAATGGAGCAGTGACAAACTGCAGATGAATTCCCATTGAACAATTCAGTCTTTTTTTTCGGTAGAATTTGCCAACACTGCATAATAATATATAGATAAAATGAAAACAATTCACAATTTATTAGGATCTTCTTCAGGGACGCACGACTGGGTCAAACTAGCTGCGCTATTTAATACTTTTTTGCTCCTCAATGCGATTCTTATGTTCAGTCAGGAAGGACACATCCTTTCTTGTCAATCACCAGCCCAAAGCTTCTCATCCTTGGACGAACTAATCCTTTCTTGCTGATCACCAGCCCAAAGCTTCTCATCCTTGGACGAACTCATCCTTTCTTGCTGATCACCAGCCCAAAGCTTCTCATCCTTGGACGAACTCATCCTTTCTTGCTGATCACCGGCTCAAAGCTTCTCATCCTTGGACGAACTCATCCTTTCTTGCTGATCACCAGCCCAAAGCTCACGTCCTTGGACGAACTCATCCTTTCTTACTGATCACCAGCTCAAAGCTTCTCATCCTTCGACGAACTCATCCTTTCTTGCTGATCACTGGCTCAAAGCTTCTCATCCTTGGACGAACTCATCCTTTCTTGCTGATCACCAGCCCAAAGCTTCTCGTCCTTGGAGGAACTCGTCCTTTCTTGCTGATCTCCAGCTCAAAGCTTCTCATCCTTGGACGAACTCATCCTTTCTTGCTGATCACCAGCCCAAAGATTCTCATCCTTGGACGAACTCATCCTTTCTTGCTGATCACCAGCTCAAAGCTTTTACTCTGCTTCTCACCATATCAGCTTTGATAAATATGCACGGTCGGCTTAACTCATCCTTTCTTGCCTATCAAGGTTCAAAGCTTCTTGTATAAGAAGTATCAGGCAACAGCAAACCAGCTAGCTACTCCCTTAGTCTCAACTAGAGACTATTTTTTTAAGGTTCAGAAATTAAATGTTTCCAAAAAAGTGAAATGTACCAAAATGAAACTATTAAATTTCTCGTAGCTGAAAATTTTAAAACATTTCCAAAGAGAAACTGACTACTGAGATTCTAAATATCTTCAACAAAGAAAATACAAACAACAGATTAAACAATAAGAACAAAATAACTTATTGCTTGGCATATTTCGTAGTATCTCGTCAGATGCACGCTGCAGTAACAACTGAATAAAAACAAAGTCATCCTTTATAAGTCAAAAACAAAACTAACCACATGCAAAAATAAGTGATTCTTTTCCCAGTACATGCAAACTTTAAAATGTCTTTTGTTGCTCTGCACTATTCCAGGTGAAATTGATTTACTGTTGCTACTTTGAAGATGCATAGGACTACCACTGGTTGACATATTATCATCATCAAGTGCCTTGCCAAGTGGCATGGACAACCATGCCTCTCCACAAGCTGTGATCAGTTACTGTGTGTATTAGTTCCTGTGTTGACACCCCCCTCCATGCTGTGATAAAAGGCTGTGAAGAATCTTCTCATGTTGTCTTCCTCTGACCCTCTTTCGACATATCTTTCCAGTGGTCACAACATATTCCTGTTTACATATACAAAATTTTGATTGCATTATCCTTGTTTGATAATGAACCCAAACATACAAAATTTTGATTGCATTATCCTTGTTTATAATGAACCCAGAGTTCTAAAGGTAGCACACAACAGACAAAGGGTGATCGTTCTGACCAGTCACATGAGTTGGCTGTTGAATTACTTTTCTTGCTGAGCCAATTTTTTTTAAATTTATAATGGGGAAACATTGCCTTCATTTTTTTGGGGTTCTTTTGTAATAAGTCACCCAAGATGACGTCACGGGGACAGTCTAATATTTTATAGGGTGGTAAGACCGGGTTTCCCTGCTTTGTAGTGCTTTTAACTACCTCAAAACATCTAGAACTAGACCTAATACCAACATACCTACATTCCATGAGAGAGTGCAGCCTATGTTCCATGACTGCATACAGCCTAGGTCCCACAACTGCATGCAGCCTATCTACCACCCCCTGAAATATTGGACTGTCTGTTTGGGGTGACATTCTGAGAGCACCCAATTTTTTTAATGTAACTGCTTTTCATGTGTTTATAATAGAAATAAAACTTACCAAAATTAAACTGACTATTGAGTTTCTCACAGTTGACAATGTTAAACCGGTATGGTTTGTCCGCCAGCATGTTGCTGACTTCAAAGTAGAACCACTGGTGGTGATGGTTAGCATTGATGTCCGGATTGAGAATGAGGTCATATTCATACTGTCGCACCTGTAACAAGGAATGTTTTCAAAACTGTATAAACAATGATAAACTTTATAAAGAACTGCAAATGTGACAAACAATGACAAACTGTAAAGAAATGGAAAACTTTAAACAATGACACAGTGCACAAACAAAGAAAACTGTAAAAATAATCACAAAGTATACAAACAGTAGCAAATAAAACAAAATATGGTTGCAATGTCGTAAACGTACACCTGAACATAAAGGCATGTAAACTGTTTATGGGATGCCTACATCATTCACAAAATACTTCAAATAAAACCACATCTTCACTTCCTCAAATTTCTATTTTCTCTCCACATTTGTATCCCTACAAGAGAAAAGGCTATATATCATCCTCATCACCACCATCATCATCCTGTCACGAAATTATATTTCACACAGGACTCACAGTCTTCTCCTCCGTTATCTTCTATACTGTGCAATAATCGATGGACTCTTCTTTAATATTTGGAATTTAGGCTTGAAATAATGTTCCTGCTCTTCACTATATTAACTTATTGACCTAGAAGGAAAAAAGGCCAATGACCTGTATACTGAGACTTCCCAAGAAAATAAACCATTAAAAAAATTTTACACAGGTCACCAAAAAAATCATAACATTTTCATTTATGGACCAAACCAGTTCATGCTGACATAAAAAAAATCCAACAACCTCTGGACCTGAAAATGCCAATTTTCAATAATTATTAATACTGTATATATTCAACAGGAAATGACTACTGTTACAGTCCTAATAATAAAAAAAAATTTTTTAAATAAGTGAGAAACAAATGAAATTTTAATTCACCAACTGTTATATACAGCAGCATATAAATGATAAAAATTTGAAAGAACAAAGCAGGAGTGCCTGTAAGCAGCCGCAAGCTAGATCTTACAGCTTATTATTGTGTACAGCACCATAAAAACATAAACGGTGCCTTTAAAAAAACACACACAAAACCAAACAGTGGTGTGCCAACATGGTAAGCATAAATATGCGCTTTGAAATCCATGCTGAATGTCTGAAGGAACCAAATTACTGATGGCTGGATTTTAAAATCTAAGTCTGCATTAAAATTTACACAGCAAAAGATTAATTAGTAAATAAAAATTCAACAAACAATTAACTAAATTACTTCTCTTTGACCAATTAAAAATGTATCCGGTGACTCATATTTGATCTAAATACTACTTGTGGCAATAGGGAAAATACCACATTATAATTTCCATTAAAAGTGATGTTTTTCCCAGGAAACATAATTCCGGTCAACCTAGCAGTTTGTGCAGGCATATACACATCATAACTTCCACTAAAAGTGATGTGTTCCCCAGGAAACATAATTCCGGTCAACCTAGCAGTTTGTGCAGGCATATATACATCATAACTTCCACTAAAAGTGATGTGTTCCCCAGGAAACATAATTCCGATCAACCTAGCAGTTTGTGCAGGCATATACATCATAACTTCCACTAAAAGTGATGTGTTCCCCAGGAAACATAATTCCGGTCAACCTAGCAGTTTGTGCAGGCATATATACGATAACAGTGAGGTCAGCCATGGTTCTCATGAACAAGCCACTACTGCAAGTTGGTAAAGCAACATTGACAAGGGATTGAGCCCAATCAGAAATGTTGGTTTTGTGGCTTCTCAGGGTGACAGGCTTAATTATTCTAGTTTCGTATTTTAAATACTTAATTTTTGCTTCACATCTTGCATCAGGCGTCACTGTCTTTCTGATATTCTTAGGGATCCTCATTGCAGCTATGGAGTCTGTATTTTATGCAATGCCTTTAGTGGGCAACCACAATTTTGAGGAGAGAAAAAAATATGCTGGATAAAACCTAGTGCAATGAACTCAATCCTCTAACCATTAAAGACCCCTATAAAGATAAATTATTGTATGAAACTACTTTATCTTCCTCTTCTTTTTTTTGCAATGACTTAGAAAGGCTTCTGGCCTGCTGTGTTTGGTTTACAGCTAGGCCAGTCAACCTAACACATCGATTTAAGCAACCTCCTAATTTAGTCACCTTTTATGGCGTGCTTGCTGAGGGGCAGAGGCTTTGTTCCTTCCCCCCCCCCTCCCCCCCCCCCAAAAAAAAATAGGGCCCTGAAACCTTCATGTGTAAGTAACTACGTCTAACAAAACTCACATGAATAACTTTGCGAAGGTTTCCACATTCAAACTGAGCATTAAACTTGAGATCACCGCAGTCTGATGATATATGACCAATTCTGCAAAACAGTGGGTCATAAATTAGTTAAAAACATGACTGGGGACGTTAAACAAGGAAAGGTCAAGGTTCAGTATTTCAAAGTCTTTAGCAACAAACAGCCAACAATAAAACAAAACTATAAGAACATTAACAGCTTATTTGAGAACGTCCAGTGTACGTGTACAATCTATGGCTCAGAGGTTAGTTAAACTGTTTCACAATAAAATCCTCATTGTTTAACCAGGGTTCAATTCCTGCAGTGAGCAGTTTAGAAAAATACTGTTCTCTGGCTTTCAGCCAGTGGTATGAGAGTTGCACCCTGGAAGAGACTGGGACAGCACCACGTACTATTCCCACAGTTATCAGTGCATCTCTCTGTTAGGGTTCCACTGCATGATTTTTTGGGATAAATAAGAACTGGCCCATCGCCCAACCACCGACAAGCATCTTGTAAAAGGTGACTGACTATCTGCCTGAGAGATGAGGAATTAACAATCTGCATACAAATAAGCCAAATTTATAAATGAATGTGCATGCAAAACTCCAGTTCTGAAACTAGGCTAAAGTCCAGAAGTTGGGAAACAACCAGTACTTTCTGCCCAAGTTTACAGCAGGTGAATACAAAGAAAGAAAGAAACAGCAGTGGATACACTGAGCCAATCTCCACAATCAGAACCATCTGGAAGCAGCATCATTTTTTTTTGTATGCCTCAACATGTCTGACCCAGTTGCCACTTGTTACATTCAGACCAGGATATGGATTTTTTTTTTAAACAGACACAGTCTGAGCCAGTCTAAAATGGGTTATCAAAAATGTAGAAAGTGAAGGTGGTCGGCAAATGCTGATGCTGCCATCCATTAAGTGTCACCTGGTAAATAAAAATATCAGTGCTAGCACCTGATTCCTAGCACCATGGAAAATGGTCCTTGATTTCTTTTTACACAGACACATACACACATACATACATACATACACACACACACACACATATACATACACACACACATACACACACACACACATATATATATATAAAACTAGAAGCATGCATGGTGTAGCGGCTAGGCGCAGGTGAAGGTCATGGGTTTAGGTCCTGGCTGAGCCAGACTTTTTTCACACCTGACCTTGGTTTCCTGGTGCTCACAGCCTTAAATGGGCACCAGGTAAAGTCAGGGGAAGTAAAGGTGACTACATCACCCACCAAGTGCTGACTGGCTTATAAAATATAGGTCTGGTCCTATATGCCCAATGGCATGGAAAAGGGTTAGTTAGTTAGTTAGTTATTCCTCTTGTGCCAAAGATGGCGCATAGGGCAGAGGTCATAGCTTTCCACGTCTGTCGGTTCTTTGCCACTTGATGTAGGTCTTGAGTGTGACTGAGACCTATGGTTGAGCTCTCCCTTGTGATGGTTCTACGGAGAGTTTCTTTTAGTCTTCCCTGTTTTCTTTTACCCTCTGGTGACCATATGAAGGCTTGGTGGGGAAGTCTCTGTATGTCCATTCTGAGTACGTGACCGATGTAATTCCAGCGACGCTTTCTAATAAAATCAGACACATATTTTTGTTTTGTTTCCTGTCTTATAGATGTATTGGACCTAAAGTCCGACCAGTGAACATTCAATAGCTTTCGGAGCATCTATTCTCGAAAGCGACTAGTTTCTTATCGATTGATACTGATGATTTCCAACTCTCACAACCATAAGTTAGCACTGGGATCACACAGGAATTGAAGACCTTAAGTTTCACAAGACGTTTAAAGCCAGAAATCTGTTTCTGTAACAGTGGATGTTTTACGATGGCGGCTTGTTAGGCTACCGATCAACGGACTGGAGACAAGCTTGAAGGAAAACATCCCTCCATGGAAAAGGGTCCTGTACTTAAAATATATAACTGTTTATAAACATATAATATTTACACAGTAAAAAAGGTTGTTGCGTATCCTCTAGAGGACGTTGCAGAACCAACCCTAACAGCCCCTGGCTGTTGTGTGGTTTCTCTAGGCAAATTTACGTCCAGTAGTTTGCCATTGCTTTCTGGACGGTCGGCTTTCTTGATACCACTGTCAAAACCAACGCAAGGCGCATTGCCCGCAGCTGGGATCGAACCTGGCATCCCGGCATTACGAAGCGAAGTGTTCGCATCGACTTAGCCACAGAGCCGACTTACACAGTAGAAAGACTAAAATGAGAAGAAGAATCAGGCTGAAGAACATCTGTAATTAGGACCCTCAAGACAAAGGCTTCCCCTTTTAACTAGAAAAAGTTGTCTTCTGCTTCCTCTTCTGCTTCCTCTCCTGCTTCCTCTTCTTCTTCCTTTTCTTCTTCCTCTTCTGCTTCCTCTCCTGCTTCCTCTTCTTCTTCCTTTTCTTCTTCCTCTTTTTCCTCCTCTTTTTCTTCCTCTTTTTTCCTCTTCTTCTTCCTCCTCCTCCTCTTCTTCTTTTTCTTCTACTTCTGCTTAGCGTTCACTGGCTGTAAGCTCCGGCAGAAAGTTCTGGTTGTTTATCCATTTCTGAGAATAGAGACAGAGTAAGACAACAAGAGGAGATTCTTGACATCCTTCTGTTATAGCATGGAGGTGTGTCAGCACATGAACTGGTAAATGTTGTTGAAGACTGCAGGTTGTGAAGATGCATGATCACCCCAGCCATTTAGCAACAGCATCAATCAGCCCATTCTTTTCAGAATGCTGCTCTCTTCACAACATGCCTAACAGTCTCTAAGTAGCCAATTCTCCAGCCCTGTTTGCTTTCATCACCAATGCATCTGCAAGGTTTCCCAGAAACTGCACCCCCCATCCTCGCTCCAAACCTTTATAATGATTGACATGGTCAAAATACCCCAGCTTTTGGGAAAGGATGCTGTTTTTGAGCTGATTCTCCTTGATGTTCCGGTCAAGCAGAATGTCAGCGTTTTGACATTTTTAATGATGATTTTAAGAAAGAGGTGGTTAATGAGAAAAAGATTAATGGGTTAGGTTTAAGTTAGTCTGCCCAAACAAAGTAGGTCAAGTTTCATTCACAAGTTAGTTGGGCTGGTCTATTTTCATGCAGGTTACAGATGCAGCTCAGTTGTTTGCTTTCTGGGTTGTCTTGCATTTATGTTTTTCTTCAGAGAAAGAGAATGCCTGTGAAATAGGTTGCAGCACTCTCTAGGGGGGTTGTGTTAGACCCAGTTTGTCCATGTCTCTGTAGTGTTAAAAGTGCTAGCGTGCTGAAATATACAACACGCAATATCAATGGCATTGCAGAACAGCACCGTAACCTTGTACCAAGGTGACAGATTCAGAAACTACCAGTCTGAATTGAGCTAGTGTGTATATGGGCCGTCCCTGGGGAGACCAACGTTACTTTTACCGATTAATGATATCATTGACTGAGCAAAATCTGCTTGCTCTAATTAAAAGATCTACTTCACCTTGATTCATCTGTGTTTGTCAGGGTCATTCTGTCCAAGGAGTTGCTATTGCCAGTGTCCAGGATGAGCTGGTCCAGGTCATAGACTACAGCATCTAGCAAAGTTTCTGGGTGGATCATTCTCTCAATATCTTCAAAGATTTTGGCCCTGTGGATCATAATACATTATTATTGTTATTGTATTTACTGTCAACATCATCAGAAAATTTGTTCTTAAAAACATAAGGTGCCGATACACAGTAAAGTATCTAACACAGGAACTGGTATTCACCACAAAGCAGCTATTACAGTAGCCCTGAACAAATATCTTTAAAAGGGTACTGGTGTTAGTTTCATTTCCTCAACAGGATGTTGCAGAACCAACCCCAGAATTTTGTGGCTGTTGCGGTGTGTGTGTTTTTTTTGGGCTCATTTTACATTCAGTAGTTTGCCACTGCTTTCTCGATGGTACCGGTGTACCACCAGAAAAAAGCACTGATCATCATCATTTCTAAACTTTGCCCATGTCAGCATTTGTTTCAAAAAGAAAAATCTTCACAGATATAGCAACAACAGCATGTATGACAGTGAGGTTTGAGGTTTCAACAAACTTGACAGTGACAGTCAACACAGATAGAAGAAAAACGCTCACAAACTGTGCCCTGTGAATCAGTCATATGACTGCATTGTATTTATTTTTATCATCTTCATTACATTCTCCAGCCTCCCTAACCAGCATGTTGTATAAAGCAAACAAATTAAGGGAGTTTCCTTTGAAGTTAGAGTGCATCTACCTGAGAGGTGGGGAACCAAGAGTCTGCATACAAATAAGCCAGATCTGTCAAATGAATGAGCTAGCAAAACTCAAGTTCTGGAATAAGACTAAAGTAGTCCACAAATAGACAAACAGCCAATGATAACGCAGGCTGAATAATCAAATGTCTTCCTGGTATGGGATGTGGGATATCATTATTGGGGGGAACAGGAATTTATCTACTGCATTCACCCCCCCCCCCCTTCCTTTTCCCAACAAGCATGTCATAAGAGGCGACTAATTAAGGGTGTTTTCTTCGAAGCTGGAGTGCATGTGCCTGAGAGGTTAGGAGCTAAGAGTCTGCAGACAAACAGATCAGTAAAAAAGATATTCATGCAAAACTTAACTTCTGGAACAAGACCACATTCCAGAAGTGGATGAATAGCCGGAACTTTCCAATAGAGTTTACAGCCTGTGAATGTTAAGAAGAAGAAGAAAAAAGAAGAAGAATCAAACATCTTGTACCCCTGGTGTTGATTTCTTGCAGCTTCAGTCTGCACCCTTATGTCCTTCGGTCTAGACAGTGATACGGAGTCACGCCCTTTGCAGTCTTCGTCTTCACTGTAATTGCTGCTCATGGTACTGATAACATCACTTCTGAGCAGCACTGCTCAGCCACAGCAACCATAGAGTCTGCCAGATTATCTGCATGCCCGTTGTCTCAAATACCCACATTACCCCCCAACCTTTCAGCTTCGATCCATTGAACCCTAAGAATCCTCTTGTATCATTTAAGTTTAAGTTGCAAGCATATAACAGATCAAAAGTCTTGCTTCTGTACACCAAACTTGTGAAAACACAAGGCTTTTATCAATGTGAAAGACACTTAAACTCCATACATATAACAAAAATGCCAATTTTAATTTAAACTTGCAAAATACTGAGTGTTTCTACTTTTAAATGTATGAGAAAGTATACTGCCTAAGAGCCAGTCCTCTCATTATTCAGATGATCAAAAATATAAATATTGGTTCTCCTCTTGGCTCATGGTACCCTAAGAATTTTCTGGTATCATTCCAGTTAGAACTGTAAACATGTAACATATATTTTTTTTAACTCTTACCTCTGCACACCAAACTTGCGAAAAGACAAGGCTTCCATCAAAATGGAAGATCCTTTAACTCCATACATATCGGGAAATGCCAGTTTTTGAAACTTGTAAACACTGTGTGTATTTACTGCCAGCTTGGCATACAGCAAATGATCATGGGCAAAAAAACAGCACTCACTGTCCAGCTCCTCATTACTTGCGTACCTAATCTAAAAAAATTGAACAGCAAACTTTAAACAGTAAAAAACAGTGTAACAGCATAGAGACCTGCTTCAGTGAAACAGATTTTAAAAAATAAGAATAAAAGAATAGTTTTAAAAATTAACAGAAAGCAACCCTTTACACACACCAGGGAATATTGGGAGATACAAGTCTTCTTCTTCTTAATCTGGCCTTTATCCCCGATTGGAGCACAGGCCCTCAACCAACTCAGGCAAGATGTCCTATCCTTTGCTATGATACACAGCTCGTCCCACGTCTTCACTATTTTTTTAACTTCACTGTCCAGTACCTTTCTTCATGTGTTTGTTGGTCTACCTGTATTTCTATGCTCTTGTGGGTTCCAGTTTAAAGCCCCTCTAGTTATATTGTTCTCAGGCAGAGATGGAAATAGGTCCATAATTTTATCAGCCAACTTGTGCTTGATGGATGTTGTGGTCACCAGCCATTATTACTTTTCCTGATATTTTACAGAACCACCAAAAGTCATGGTGTAAAGATAGAGGGGCAGGGGCCTACCAGCATGATGATGGGCACAGGGTATTCGTGACACAATGGGTAGGAAAATGCATGAGTCAGGAGAGCTGGTGAGAGACCCAGTTTCTTTCAGGCAGGTTTTGAAGGGAGCGACATTCAGCAAAAGATAACTTCTAACTTTTGATTGGGTTAAAAGGTTAAAATGGAAGTTGGGGTGTCAATTCCCTGTGTCAATCAGGATTCAAACACCAGACCACTAGGACGGTAGGCAATGGTGCTAAACACTGTGCTATCATGGCTCCCATTGAGACTGGTATCTCATCCTACTGTGCTGTTCTTTATCACATAAGGCCCGCAGTCTAGGGTTCCATGTTATCCTTTCCTGGGCAATACTTTCAATTTCATGGATGGAATCCAGACCAGCACCCACACAAAATGTCCACCTTAGGTTTTCTCTTGGACATCCTCAGTTTTTTCATTCCATTTTGTTCCCATTTCAGTGCTTGCTTGGTGATTCTATGTCCATTTCTTCTCATCATGCGTACAATAGATTGTCTCATGGTCTGCATTTTATAACTGATGATACAAGTGGTTGATGAGAAGAAGATCATAGATACCTGACTGCTGGAAGCATATGAGAAAAAGAGGATGTTTTTAGATACCTGATTCTTGAAGGCAGAAGAGATGATATGTTTTTAGGTACCTAACTGTTGGAGGCGGAAGAGAAGAAAATCATGTATTTAAATGCTTGATTGTTGGAGGCAGGGGAGAAAAGGATCATGTTTTTAGGTACCTAACTGTTGTAGACATTAGAGAAGAAAATCATGTATTTAAATGCTTGATTGTTGGAGGCAACGGAGAAGAAGATAATGTTTTTAGGTACCTAACTGTTGGAGACATAAGAGAAGAAAATCATGTATTTAAATGCTTGATTGTTGGAGGCAGCGGAGAAGAAGATAATGTTTTTAGGTACCTAACTGTTGGAGACATAAGAGAAGAAAATCATGTATTTAAATGCTTGATTGTTGGAGGCAGCGGAGGAGAAGATAATGTTTTTTAGGTACCTAACTGTTGTAGACATAAGAGAAGAAAATCATGTATTTAAATGCTTGATTGTTGGAGGCAGCGGAAAAGAAAAGCATGTTTTTAGATATCTGATTTTTTAAGGCAGAAGAGAAGAAAATCATGTTTTTAGATACCTGACTGTTGGAGGCAGCAGAGACAAAGATCATGTTTTTAGATACCTGACTGTTGGAGGCAGCAGAGACAAAGATCATGTTTTTAGATACTTGACTGTTGGAGGCAGCAGAGACAAAGATCAAGTTTTTAGATACCTGATTGCTGGAGGCAACAGAGACAAAGATCATGTTTTCAGATACCTGACTGTTGGAGGCAGCAGAAAAGAAGATTTGTATTCAAATACCTGATTGTTATCATCAGTCTCCTGCATGGGAAAGTTCATATTACTGAAGCTATCACATGCCAGCTTGTCCAAGCAAGCTGCTGATGATCTTGAGTTTGTAAACCTCTCTCGGGTGGCTACAGATTTTTTCTTCTTTTTGCCTCTCAGAACAGTTATGCTGCTGCGACTGTGAGCTGGAGACCTAAAGGGACCCAAATCTAAAGTGATGACAGCCGAACCTGTTTTTAGGTTGACAGCACTTGCACTTCTATCCTCAAACTGATTACCTGTTACAAAGATAAAACATAATGAGCATACTTGCATAGACAGTTTATGTAGGTAAATGTGATAAAGCCATTAGGGAACTCTACTTCTTCATCTTCTTTGCTTTCACTTGCTGTAAACTCCAGCAGAAAGTTCTGGGTGTTCATCCCCCTCTGGACTTCAGTCTTGTTCCAGGACCTGAGTGTTGTTGCACATCCATTTCTCAGAACAGGCTTATTTGTATGCAGTCTCTTGGTTCCTTGCCTCTCGGCCAGATGTATTCAACTCTTACGACATGCTTTTGGGTAGGCAGTGGGTCTATTCTTGTTTTCCCTTAACAGGGCCCCGGAACCCACATGGGGATATAGAACTCTAAATTGTAGTTTCAAAACCAAGCTATGTATTTTCAATTCTAATATTATTTCAAGATTGGCTAATAAACAGTATCCTGTCTCGGAAGCTCAAATATTTTGGTCATATCAAGAGCCACAACGGATTGGAAAAAAATTATAGCAGAAGGCATGGTGCCAGGAAGGAGGGGCAGGGGCTGATCAACACAAAGATGTGCACAGGATATAAGTGACTCCTTGAGTATGAAAGTGCATGAGACGGGAGAGCTGACGAGAAACCAAGTTTCTTATAGGCAGACTGTGATGAGAGCGACGTTCTGCAAAGGACCTGCTACATGACGATGATGATGATGATTAATATTATTTCAACTTTAACATATGCCAGTAAAAGTTGAAGAATCATTTAATATTATTTTTCCAAAACAAGCTCTGTGATTCCCTTACAACTGCAGCATGTCACAGCCTAATGGCCATGTCCAGGCAAAATTTGGAGTTACAAATCTGCCAAAAGTATTTCAGGATCCTCGCCGGTGCAACAGAGTTTGTAAACTGCGCTGAGATTCTTCAGACTCAGGCTTGTTAGAAGTAGAATGAGTAGAACATGTGATGAATGAGAATACAGCAAACTATCACGTGTGATGTGGTCGTCTGTATGATATACCTAAAATCTTGCAAAACAACCTTATTTCCAATGACTGTATTTTCCTTTTAAATTTAGGTGCCAGGGTTCACATTTCACAGCAATATATAAATAAAATACTGACACCCAGTTCTCTGAGCACTTTGTAATCTTGTTTTATATGAGATATTTGTTTATGGCTTTTTTCTTTTTTGGCATGGAGAGGCCAAAAAAAAAATGAAAAGCATTAAGTGAACCAGAGAAAAGCAGCAGAAAAAAAAACACGCACGAACGCACGCACGCGCGCGCGCACACACACACACACACACACACACACACACACACACACACACACACACACACACACAGAGGAGGAAAGTGTGAAGAGCATGAGTGGCAGCAATCAACTGAAATATAATATTTTGAACACTTACTTATCTCGGTAGACGTGACCTGATTACTCAGACTCACAGAATGTTGCTTTTGAAAAGAACAAGGACTGCTATTGTCCACACACATCTTCTTTAAAGCTGCATCTGAAGATACGTGCCTCATTGGAGACAGCTCACCAGATAACACATTTGACCAGGTGTTCAGATTTACAGACAAAGATCTCCGCAAAGGAGCGCAGACTGGCGGAGCAGGTAACGTGCTCTGAAACTATAATCAGGTCATTAGTGTTTACAACCACATCCCAAACATTAGACAGTTCTTCAAACCATCAATACGATTACCATCACAAAACTTGCTCGATGAAATCGTCATTACTTATGAATATTTACACAGCATTTGACAGCTCAGTTAAATAAAATTAACCAGATCTATGATAATGATATTAAGCAACAATGTGGAATATAATCATAAATGTATTAGGCAACAATGTGGAATATAATCATATTGATATTAAGCAACAATGTGGAATATAATCATAAATGTATTAAGCAACAATGTGGAATATAATCATAATGATATTAAGCAACAATGTGGAATGTAATCATAATGATATTAAGCAACAATGTGGAATATAATCATAATGATATTAAGCAACAATGTGGAATATAATCATAATGATATATTAACAGGCTTCTTCTGCTCTTCTTTGTTCTTCTTTTTCTCTTCCTCCTCCTACTTTTTCTTCTTCCTTTTCTCCTCTTCTTTTTCACCTCTTCTCCTTCTCCTATTTTTTTCTTCTTCTTCTTATTCTCGTTCTTCTTCTTCTCCTCCTCCTCCTCTTTTCATTCTGCTCTTTTTTCTTCTTTCCCCACTTCTTCTTTTCTTCTATCTTTCATCACCCAATGGAGCACAGACCCTTAACCAATTCACACTAAGCACTTTGGTAAACTTACTCATGATAAGTTGAATTTTGTAGCTTCCGTTTTCTATGAGATAAAGACTCAACTCTAACCTTCTTTTATCCTCAGTTACAGATTGCATATTAGGTTACAGCATTACTATGTTTCCATTATGTGATTAACTGTGTGCGCAACTACTGATCTGTTGTAACTTGCTTTCATCCATGGTGAACTACATTTCTAGTGATGGACTGTCTGTGTTGGAACTTCTGCCTTATGTGTTGCGTGAGTGTGTGTGTGTGTGTGTGTGTGTGTGTGTGTGTGTGTGGGTGGGTGCAGGTGGGGGTGGGTGGGTGTGTGTGTGTGTGTGTGTATGAGATATTGGCTTTGCTGAAACTTCCGTCTGTGTCAGTTTTTTCTATAAGGGACGGGGAGGAATATTCTGTGTGGTTTTTGTTAGCACAGAAATGCTGAAACTATGGGCTGACCTGTTTACTGTGAAGGTGGAAATGGATAGCCAGTGGCAGCCAGTGTGCACTGGATTGCAAATTATTCCTTCCTATGGCAGTTAACAGCAGAGGGGGTTTATGAAAATGATGATTGTTTTGTAGCCATTTTTTATCAAGCTGATTGGACCACAGAGATTTCATCATCATCAAGTGCCTTGCCAACTGGCATGGGCAATCCTGCCTCAACAGAACCTGCTATTTTCAGTAGCATGTATCACCCTTCGATGCCATGACAAAAGGCTGCCAAGAATTGACCTCAGCTGCCTTCCTCTGTTTCTATTTCCACAGATCTTTCTAGTGGTCACAACATAATATGACCAACAAATTACGACTGTCTCCTTCAGATGTTTGTAATAAGTTGTCTTTGAGCCCTCGGTTCTCTCAAGATTTTCTGGGGTGCTCTGTCTGGCTGTCCAAGGAATTCTATGGATTTTTCTGCAGGTGAGAATCCTCTTTCTAACCTCTAATGACATTGGATTTTTTTCATGAAATGTTCTTTATTTTATAAAATGCAGTTTTAGCCTATCCTATTCTGTTCTTTATCACTGTGATATGTGTACTGTAAGATGTTATCCACGTGCCTAGATACTGATACCAGCAACCACAGAGAGCCACAGGGAAAAAATATAATGAACACAGAGCTTGGAAAAGACAGAGCAAGTTATGGAATGACAGCATCAAGAGCAACTGCAGAGAAACAAAGGTCAACTTACACAATACATTAGATAAAACTACCCAGATCTATCATTTTCAGTGACAGCTGGAGCAAGAAGGAGGAGGAAGAGAAAGCGGAGGAGAAGAAATAGAAGAAAACAGTTTACATAATAATAGGAATAAGAAAGATCACCTGTTGTTCCAGCAACTCAGGAAAGAAGTTATCGTACATGCGCAAGTCCTCCAGTGTTCTTGTTTCAGCTGGGTCTGGGCTTTCCAGGTGATCTTCATCTGCCTTTAGGAGGAAAAAATAACTACACTCAAATACAATTAATGTGTGTTGGCTGTTATCATCATCATGTAACAGGTCTCTGTCTCTCACCATGTCCTGCTTGAAAGAAACTCAGTCTCTATCCTGTCTCCTGCCTCATGCACTCTGCTACCCAGGGTGTCTCTTATGTCTTGTCCCCATCATCATGCTGGTCGGCCTCAGTCTCTCTTAGGTGGTACCATGCCCGCTGCCCCTGTTCTTTCCAATCCACTGTGGCACTTGATATGACCTAAATATTTCAATTTCTGAGACAAGATGCTTTTCAATGTTCAGATCTTTCGGGATGTCATTTTTTTTCTTTTTGGTCCATGGTATTCTGATAATCCTTGTATAGCATTTCAATTGAAAAGCACCTATTTTCTTCCTTAATGAGCGTGAGATAGTCCACGAAACATCCATATTTTGCTACATGTAAAGTGCATGCCTTCAACATTTTGACCTTGATGTCCTTGATGTTATGATCCGCCTTAATATGGGACGTAATGTTTTGTTATTTTAAAGTTCAACTCCTGCTGCTGTCGGGGCCCTAAATACAAACTTCAGGTTAAACTGGGTTTTTTGGGCTTGTGCCCGTGTGACCCTCATCCAAATGGTGACACTTTGTGTCACCATGTGTTGGTCCTGGTGGGGTTGAATGTCAGTCAGTCAGTCGTTGATTTCGTCGCTAGTATGTAATCATAGTTTGTCAATCTATATATTGTCTTCTTCACTTTTACCGGGTTGCAGCCCAGTGTCGTGGTTTAAAATACTTGTTTTGTGCCTCTCGCGTGATTTGAGTGACAGTTTTCTGGATCTTCTGGCCGTATTCCGCTACTCCATCTATCCATTTTTTCCTGGGTCTTCCTCTGGCCTTTCTTCCCGATGTTCTACTGTAAAAGGCCTTATAGGCAATCTGATCCGGTTGCATTCTTACTAAATGGCCAAACCACTGCATTCTCTGTCTTTCAATATGTTCCATGCATGCTCTTGTTCCAACTTTGTCCCTAATGCTGACGTTTGTGACTCTGTCTCTTCGTGTATTGTTGGTGACTCTTCGGAGACATCGCATTTCACAATCATAGTTTGAAATGCTGTTTAATCTTTGCATTGCTTTGGCCATCCTCCTTTTGACTTCTCTTGAACAGTCTGCAATGTGGTTTTTAATAAGATCTAATTTGCTAAACATTAGAGTTTAACAATGTTTTAAATGAATAAATATCCAACCTCCTCTGTGTCAATTCTAAACTTCTCATCATCACTATCGATATCATTCTCATCAATTTCATCCAAGGAACTGTGGTCACTCTCCACTCCTGCTGCAGTATTCTGATCCTGTTCTTGTGGAACTGAAAAGAAACAGAGCAGTCAATAAACTAACAGCAATTACTAAACACCTGTTACAACTGTCATAAATTATTTACTTTTAATGTACTGGCACTACAATGATTCTGTCAGAATTTCACAAACTATTTCATTCAAATATGATGGTACCAAAATTATTCTGTCCAAAATTCATAAACTATTTTGCTTAGATGTGCTGATAGTACCATGATTCTGTAATAATTTCTCAAACTATTTTGTTCAAGTGTGATGGTACTGCAATTATTCTGTCAAAAATTCATAAACTATTTTGCTAAGATTTGTAGGTACAACTACGATTCTGTCAGAATTGTCCAAACTGTTATATTCAAATGTGATGGTGCTACAATTATTCTGTCAGATATTTCAAAACTATTATGTTCCAGTATCTTGATACTACTATGATTCTGTAAGAATTTCATATAGTCCGATGAAGACAACGCTCTCGCCCTTCAACACTTTTCTTCTCTCTCTCTCTCTCTCTCTCTCTCTCTCTCTCTCTCTCTCTCTCTCTCTCTCTCTCTCTCTCTCTCTCTCTCTCTCTCTCTCTCTCTCTCTCTCTCTCTCTCTCTCTCTTTCTCTCTCTCACCCCCTCCTTTTTTTTACTAGACGCCTGGTTTAAGGACCACCACTTGGAAGTGTGGGTTATCTTTGCCAACTCTGTATCTCGTTCATAGTATGATCAGTCAAGCTTTTGGTCAGTGACTATCCTTATTTTTTATGTGCTATGCATATCTTCTTTTTTTTTTCTGCCTTTCTAGCCCCTAACAGACCATATACCCTCAACCAGCTCATGCCAGATTGTTCTATCCTTCACTATGACCTGCAGCTCTTCCCATGTCCTCCTCATCTTCTTAACTACACTCGCTAGCTCTCTTCTCCGTGTGTTTTTTGGTCTTTATTTATTTCTGTGCCCCTGTGGGTTCCAGTGCAAAGTCATTCAAGTTATAGTGTTCTCAAGTTTTCTTCAACTCCATAATCTTTTCTTTACCTCTTGGTCCACCGGAGCTTGTTTAGTTCTCACCCAAAGCTCAGTATTAGTGATTCCATCATACCATTTAATTCCCACTATTCTATGATTCTATATAGGCACCAGTTAAGGAAAGTTTGTAATTTATTAGAAACTGCCTTAGTTGTTCTCCATGTTTCTGCTCCGTGCAACAATACTGATCCATCCCTCAATGTTATCCTTCCACTTGCATCACTGTCTATCTCTCACTTGCTTGCCTTCAACTTGTCCTCACTTTTACCAAAGTGTTATGTCTTTCAATATGGCCTAAATATTTCATTATGGTTCTTGATAGGGCAAACCTAACTAGCATCCACGTGATACTGAAGAATTATCAGCTGCATGACAGACTATCACATCCCAAAGAGTATTTTATGGGGAGTTCCAGCAAGGGAAGAGGTCTCAGGGAGGACAGAAAAAGAGCTATAAAGGCACTCTCAAAACTGCTCTCAATTCTTTTGGCATAATCACCGTAGGAGGCTGCTGCACAGGACTGTTCTGGATGGCGTACATCCCTCAGGGATGGTGCATCAGACTGCCAGACATCGGAGGTTGCACAGGCAGAGAAACGGAGGCAGACTAGAAAGAGCTGTATTGCTAATCCCACACTTACTGCGGCTTCCACCTGTTGTCCACACTGCTCAAGAACTTTGCGGGCTCAAATTGGACTAATCAACCACCTTCGTACTCATAATCATTGAACATTACTACTTTGGATGAAAAAGTGGTCTTCATCATTCGTGACGGACGAACAACAACAAATACTTCACTGATGTCTTGTATTTTACATAGCAACCCTCTTTTTATTCCTAATCTTATTAATCTATTTAGATGTGTCAATTGATTACTGCTTGGCTGTTAGTGAATCCACAGGATTCTTGAGTCAAATACATTGGTGTTCAAGTCATTTAGATCTAAGTAAAGGGATTGCAATTAATTATCTGAGTGATGTTGGTGCACACTTTTCTTCGTACCCAGTACCAAAGTACCCTTTCCTCAGAAACTGTGGTGCAGAGCTCTCCTTCACTTCATCTAGCTTTGAAACTAAGGATGGTGCTAAAGACCAACATCCAGAGAGAAGCATATATAGAATCAAATCAAGTAGGTGACCTACATCCAGAGAGAAGCGTATTTGGAATCAAATCAAGTCTTTACTCAACAACCAATCAGGTATCACAAGTTGGCTGTGGGAGAATCTCTAGTACTGTCTCTTGTCATGGAGGTACACTCTTTCACAGCACTGTCTGTCCATCTCTTCATGTTATTCTCATTGTGTCACTGTTTACATCTTGCTTTCCTACCTCTTGCTTCTCTCTCTGCAATGTGGTTTTTATTACAGTTTCATCTTTTAATGTAGAAAAAATATTTCACTTGTCTTTTTTATAGCCTCCTTTTTTTCATCTCCATGCTGTGTGGCCTTGGCAGTCATGTCTATCCACAACCCTCCGTTTTGTGTAATTTTGATCAGCTCTGATACAGATGATCCTCCATGGAATGATATCAAACTGTTCAACATCTGTTCTCTCCGTCTCCCTCTGTCTCTCTTCCTCTCCAACTTTCCTATGGTCATGATGTATTTCAGTTTTCTCCAATTCATCACGTGATCAAAGAATGTAGATTGCTTTTTTCTGCTGTTGGCAATCAGTTCTCTTTATGAGTCAGTTTCTTTTAAGACATCTTCATTAATTCTTTATGTTTGTCTGGGTAATCAAATCATTCATCTACAAAACCACAGATCCACAGCTTTAAAATAATTTTTTTCACTAAAATACCAAGTGCCCATGATTCACTTCCACATATCAAGATAGGATTTACATAGCTTTTGAGAATTCTCTTTCTCGTCTCAAATGACAAAGAAAGATTACACAAAATACTTTTCATTTAGTAAAATGATGCCTTTGCTTGTGCTATTCTACATTTAACTTTAATCATCTTCCATCTGATGTTATCAGGGTACCAAAGTATTTAGTCTTAGTCAGGGTTTCAACATCACCGCAATCAGGTTTCCCCATACTTGCTCAGTTCCTGAGCAATTGCAAATCAAATGAAATTTCCCTCACTGTCACATTTGAAAAACTGGTGAAGAAACAACCAGTCCCAGGACAACCATATATGTGCGTGCAGTGAATGCGTATTTCACTTGCTAGAGGCGCTAAAGCCAACTTTCACCATCAGAAAATCAGTTTGTAATTGATGGAAGCAGTCAGGCACGATAAGTTGCTTACTGTACACATGAAGAATTATTACATAAGGTATTTCACCAACTCACACGTAAACCGGCTACCAGCCATACTGAATACCACAATACAACTGCTGCACAAATGAAAGACATTCCACAGGAATAACACAGCTCACAGGGCTGCACCAAGCACTGAACCCAGTAGCTCAGGCAGCGAAACCGTAGACTACCGCCCTTATGTGGAAACTTCATTAGCAAAGTGCTGTCAGAAGCAAAAGTAACTTTGAAGCTTTATATTCTGCCAAGTCTTTCCTCCATTTTGGCTGGAAGTACCCTAGTACTTAAAGTTATCAACTTGCTTGAAGTTTGTCCCATTCACTTTGATGTTGCATTTTGGAGGGTCAGTTTTTTTTTTTTTTTTTTTTTTTTTTATTGTTTAATGTTTACACTATGGGGTGGCTGACCTAAGCTAGTACTATTTCTTCCACAAGTTACAGTTAATCCTAGTCCAGTGCCCACACAGATGAAACCTATGAAATAAATAAAATAAATAAAGTACAAGAGGCAAAGCAAAAAACTATGATTTTTAAAATATATCATTATGAAGCTATTTAACAAGTATATAAATTGAAAACAAAATGATCAAAGCTATTGTATCATCATAAGAATTAAGCCCTACAAGTGAATGAAATAAAACAGAAGCTTTACATTAAAAAATATGTTAATCTTTTTTTTAACATATAACTCTAATTTAAAAATAAAAATGCTTTAATAAAGCAATTAAAGAAACAGTATAACCACGGCAAAACAAAATGAAAAACCAGAAAACGAAAATAATGCCCAGAACAAGTGGTACCACCATATACAAGACTTTGGAAGACACCAGAGAGGTGATTGAATTTGTCTGTTAAAGCAATATCCACCGAAGAACTTGATTCGTTACTTAGGTCTCTGGGTGTCATATGACCTAAAAATAACAGGCGAACATACATTTAGTCATCAAAATCAGGATAAACTTAATAAAAATAAACAGCTAAAGGATCCTTTTCCCACCTTGAGGTACACTGAGCGAATGTTGAGAGCCTGCGCATATTTATACACCAATCGGCACTTGACAAATTGACAATTTTGTGGTATGCATTTTAGACTGGGTTGACAAGGTACTTTTTTTTTTTTTAAATTAACGAATAAATTTCAACTCATGACCACGATGCCACCACTCTCAGGCAGATGCCCTCCATATTCATACATAACATCCCTAATCTCTCAGGCAGATGCCTTCCATATTCATACATAACATCCCTAATCTCTTTACCACTGCTTTGGTTTTCCTCAAGGTCTGCTCCCAGTCAACTTCTTTTACATATCTGGTTATCTGGTAATCTTAGTTTCAGATTTCAGCAAATGAGACACAACATATTATTATGCCATTTTCATCTCTCTGGACGCCCCAACCATCGCAGTCTATTAGCCGTCATGTTGCTAGTAATTAGAAGCGACTTAAACAAATTATTAATTTTGTTGTCGTTTCAGAAATGTACTTGTCTCATCAAAAATAAAACAGATCCAAATGTTAAAAAATCAACAGGGATTTTTATTTTCCAGTTTTCTCAGTCGAAGCAGTTATTACCTTCATTCTTTATATCCCAAACATTTGAGCATGAAAATAATAAATACTTAATTCTGAAGGATTTCAAAATAGATATTAAAGAATAGAAGTACGCATAAGCAGTAGTAGCAATTTTCACAAAAATATCCTGTTCAACCCTCAGGGTTATAACTGGGATATAAAGTGTTTATCAGGTTCTCAGAGTAACTGTTTGTTATTTCATATATTGTGTAATTTTTATTAAAGACAATTAAAGTAACAAATAGACAAAGCGGCTATATAAATCACCTAGTATATGGCGACATAAGAAACAAAGTAAAAGAAACAAAGTATGTATGTACATAGAGATAAAATCAAACAAAGGAATACATAAATAAGTCAGGCGACATGAGAAATAAAGAAAAAGAAACAAAGTACGTATGTACATAGATAGATAAAATCAAACAACTGAATACATAAATAAGTTAAGCGCTTAAAAGGTCCTGAACTAAATAAACATAAAGGAAACTAAAGAAATAAAAAGGCAAAGAGTTAATTAACTCTGTCATATTGAGAAAGTCAGTTTTCTGACTTTACATGCTTCTGATGACAAGATGTCTTTGGACAGTGCCCAATACACCTTTATAACAGCTCTGATAGTGGTTGCAATCAAATAGTGTGAAGACGTGGTAGGTATCATAAATTTTTTTTTTTTTTTTTAAATTTTAATCATATTCTGGGGTGAAAGAAAAAAAAGAATTGATTGTTTTGTTTATGTGGGTCATTGTAGATCCATAATAAACTTATGATGGTGTCACTTTGCTGGCTGTGTCACTAAACCTGTTTTCGTGGTCAAAAGGACGGAAAGCAGTTATTTCTTTACTCTGTATTCAGTGATTACTTCCCTTCACACTAATACAATTTTTAAAAAATCACCTTTGCGCAAAGTAATGACTCTAAATATTGAATATCTATCCTTTGGAGCTTCAATGATGCAGTGATAGCAGGCTTGCCAGTCTGCTCGGTGGCAAGAGGTTTCAATCCCATGGGATTTGTTACAAAAACTGACCAAGACTGCAAAGTATTTCTACTTTTTCGTTTGTTCCTCTAGCTTGTTAGGGTAGAGTTTAATTTTAAAAAAAATTTTGAAAAAAGCCATTTTGTAAGATTTGTACTGGGTGAAACAAACTAAGAATGCAGTCAAAGTTTCAACATCTGGACTGCTCAAGGATCTGGTTAATCTAGAACCTAGTACTGTCCAGATTCTTGTGGTTACTTTTTTAAATTCTTACATACATAAGAATAAATAATAGATGAACAAGTAAATTTTAATAATTTGTTAAAAATAAATTTAGACTGCTTTATTCATTCATATAAGTGCATTTGTTTATTTATGTCTACAATTTATGCAGTCTGCTCTGGTTATTTTTCATTGGAATAAGCAATGTGCAGACATTTCTACTATTTTGTCTGCTTTTGTGCATCCCATATTTATGACTTTGTAACAAGAATGCTATGCATATATTATGCATGCATAATCATGGTTCCTTTCTTAAGATTTACATATTTATAAAAACAAATACTTTGATGTATGGTAATATTCCACTGCATTTTTAAATCCTAAAAGGCTTGCATTTTAAGAACGTTTTAATTTGAACATCCAGATTTCTCAGTTTTTGCTGCCTAAATAGTTACATTAGAAAGCAGGGAAATAAATAAACCGATAAATAAATCAATTTTACAAGCAGCTAAAAAATTTGTAATAAAATTACTACATCAGAAGATAATTGAAATGAGCATTTAAATAATGAGCAATTAAATAAATGCTTAAATAAATATATAAGAAAATGAATAAATAAACAATGTGAATTTTAAAAAAAGTAAATAAGTTTTAAAAAAAAATTAATTTAATGAAAATAAAAAAAGCCAATGCAGTTTTATTCATAGATAAATATAATTATATATAAACCAATTTTAAAAACAATAGTAAAATAACAAATTTAGAAAAATTTAAAACAAGGAGATTAATTAATTTTTTTTTTTAAATCAGAACTATTGTATTTCTCAAATGGTATATATATACCTTCTAACTTCACACTCTGGTGTGTGTTTGCTATTTCTAGCAACTTAGAAAGTGTGACTGAAATATGGACAACTAATAAAAGGAAGACAAACATCACCAGAGAGTCCAGATGAATGATTCCTGTTGTAAACAGAAACTCAAGAAGGTTGTTCTGATTGATGATCAGTGATGTTTAATGAAAATGCTAGTGAACATATAATGACATTTAGTATAAGGAAGCAACCTGCAGTGACCTGACTGGTGACTGTTCCAGTGATCACCAATGTGAGTGAGAATAGCTACTAAACAAAGTCATTCAGTATTAAGGAAGTAACTTGAAGTAGCTTGAATTATGTTAGTTGCGTATCCTTTACAGGACGTTGCAGAACCAACCCCAGCATTGGCTGTTGTGGTTTTTCTAGGCAAAGTTACGTCCAGTAGTTTGCCATTGCTTTCTGGACGGTCGGCTTCTCGATACCACTGTTGAAACCAGCGCAAGGCTCAAGGCCTGCAGCTGAGATCGAACCCGGCACCCCAGCATTACGAAGCGTGTGCGCAACACCTTAGCCACAGAGCTTGAATTATACATAAAATATATTAGAATGTTCAAATGTTACTTCTGCTACTTCTTATCATTATTATTATTATTATTATTATCTCTATGACCTCATCCTCTGATTCTTCTTCTTCTTCTTCTGCTTCTTCTTCTTCTTCCTCTTCTTCTTCTTCTTCTTATTCTTCCTCTTCTTCTTATTCTTCCTCTTCTTCTTATTCTTCCTCTTCTTCCTTCTTCTTCTTCCTTCTTCTTCTTCTTCTTCTTCTTCTTCTTCTTCTTCTTCTTCCAATTTTTCTTCTTCTTCTTCTTCTTCCTTTTCTTTTTCTTCTTCTTCTTCATCTTCTTCTTCTTACTCTTTGTCTTCTTCTTCTTCTACTTCTTCTTCTTCTTCTTCTTCTTCTTCTTCTTCTTCTTCTTCTTCTTCTTCTTCTTCTTCTTCTTCTTCTTATTCTTCCTCTTCTTCTTTTTCTTCTTTTTCTTCTTCTTCTTCTTCTTCTTCTTCTTTTTCTTCTTCTTCCTCCTTTTCTTTTCTTCCTCTTCTTCTTGCCCTTTCTTCTCATTCTTTCTTATTAATATTATTATTCTTATTCTACTTCTACTACTCTACCTTCTCCTCTTCCCTCTCTACTCCTTCATTTTCTCCTCTTCCTGCTTCTTCTTCTTCTTCTTCTTCTTCTTCTTCTTCTTCTTCTTCTTCTTCTTCTTCTTCTTCTTCTTCTTCTTCTTCTTCTTCTTCTTCTATTTCTTTTTTCCCCCTACTATGCCAGGCAGAATCTCAGGATCAGTTTCATCTTAACTGAAAAGCTGTTAATGATATCTGTGCATCTGAATGTGTGCAAAAATGAACTGGTATTTTATACACAGTGCAGACCAACAGATGATCTCGGATATGGCAAATTTATCTTGTGAAGAATCATCTGTTTATCCTGGGCATTTTCCTTGTTTGAAATCCTATCTTGATAAGAGAAAATTCTGAGAAGAACTATTTCTCGGGTTCCCAGTGAGTTCTCCTTATCAGGTCTGCACTGTATAATGAACAACTGTTGCCTTTTCAATGATAATAATTTAACATTAAAAGCTAATGAAACGGTATGAGGAATGAATATGGTGTGCCTATACTTTTTTTAGTCGCCGTCTGTGGCTTAGACATTGTAAACGCGCTTCCTAATGCTGGGGTGCCGGATGCCCGGCTGCAGGTGATTTTTTGCCCTGCATTGGTTTCGACAGTGGTTGAGAGTTGACCGTTGAGAAGCAATGACAAACTACTGAACCTAAAATTTGCCTAGAAAAACTACAACAGCGTAGAAATGCTAGGTTTGGTTTTGCAACATCCTGCAAAGGATATGCAACCAACTTTTTATACTTTTTAATTTGTATACTGTCTTGTGAGTTCTCCAGCTTTTTTTTTTCCTTTGCCTCATTATCAGCACTAATCAATACTTTCTTCTTCTTCTGTGTTTACCCTTAACAGTGTGGTTCACATATTGTGTTGTGGTTTACAGCTAGGCTGCGCCTTTTGGCCTAATACATTTGATTTCAGCAAACTGCTAGTCTTTTTTCGACACGTGAGGGTAGTGGGTCCATTTAACCCACCTTCTTCAACAAGTGAGCTCATTAATCAAAGCCAAACTGGTATTTACTCAATTTACACAGGTGGATTCGTGCGTCAGTATATCTTTCTATTGTCAGTGTAAAAGACAACGCTTTTGTAGACCATATTCAGCAGTTTGTTTCATTAGTTCATAAGTTCACAAAGCTAAAGCAGAGGTCAAAATCAAGAGAACTGACTTGATTGCTTTGGGTTTTATCCCCGACAGCTTTGTCTCTCCTTGAAGAAGGGCTAGCTGTCTGCCAAGAGTGTCACACAGAGGATGAACTGTGTAACTAGTGCAAGGATTCTCAGGGATTTCCTGGGGAGGGGGAAAGGGGCTGCACCAACAACGTTGGTGGTAAAGTCCATGAAGCAAACCTGTGACCTTCTGAGCACGAGGCAAATGACTTGTCCACTTAGCCATGGAGACCTCTGAAGCAGAAGCTTATAATGTGATAAGTCAGTCTGTTATGTCCTGTTATGATTGAGAAAAAGTAATTGGTCCTTGTACACTGAAAAGATGGTGGTCTTCATCAGCGATTCCTGGAATCTGAACAAGAGGCAGACCTTACAAAGGGATGGAACAGCAAAACAGTAGAAGCAACAACCACATAAAAGAGATACTCACTGACTTGCCTGGTGTGCAATGATGACATCTGCACTAATCCGAACAACTCGCTTTTTCTTCTTGGCATTCACTGGCTATAAATTCTGGTGGAAAGTTCTGGTTGTTCATTCAATGCTTGACTTTGGTCTTGTGCCAAAACTTGAGTTTTGCATGCACATCCATTTTACAGATTTGGCTTATTTGAGACAGACTGTTGGTTCCTTATTTCTTAGGCAAAGGCACTCTGACTTTGAAGAAAACACCCTTGATTTATAGTCTTTCACGTCAGGCATATTAACAGGGGCAGTTGCTCTGTTCTCTTTTTTTCCCCCAAAATGGCGCCCAAGAACCCACACGGGGAACCTCAACAGCAACTCACCTGGGAAATCTGACAACAGGTAGCACTCAGGTGTGTGTGTAGCGGATATCGGCAGGGAAAATGTGACAGGGCTGAGACACGACTCCAGTGGAAGTTTATTTCTCGGGCAGCACTTCCGTAAAATAATGCTGGCCAACAGAATCAGACTCTCCATGTCTCGGCAGTCACTGGCTTCTAATGCTCCTTCATAGAGAATTCTAATTCCATCAGCTTCAACAAATGCCAGACGTCCAGCCTCTGAAAAATTAGTGACCAAATGTAATTCAACTTATATGCTTGTAAAAATCTGTAAGTAAAGTAAAGGACCCTTTTCCCCGCCTTTAGGTGTATAGGGCATACAGAGATAGACCTATATTTTATAGACCAATCAGCACAAGATGGGTGATGTGGTCAGCATCACGCCGACCGCCTATACTTCTCAGGACTTCACCTGGTACCCACTCAAGGCTGGGTCGACCTGTGTGCCAAGGTAAAGTTGTTGTTTTTTTGTTTTTTTTGTAATTCAGCTCTTCAGGATCCGAACCCAAGACCTTCCAATTGGCAATTGAGCATCTAGTCGTACACAACCTCCCAAAAATGTGTGTATCTAGATTAAATTAGTCTCAAGATTTGTTAACTCTTTTGGTACTAGCTGCTTTTATCCTTGATGTCTAAGTGAGACAATTAATAACAATGTCTTCTTCTTCTTCTTCACGTTCACCGGCTGTAAACTCCGGCAGAAAGTTATGGATGTTTGTCCACTTCTGGACTTTAGTTTTGTTTCCAGAACCGGAGTGTTGCGCACGCAACTATTTTACAGATCGGACTTATTTGTATGTAGACTGTTGGTTCCTTGCCTCTCAGACAGATGCACTCAGACTTCGAAGGAAGCCGACAGGAACTCAATTCCTACAACCTGCTTGTTGGGAAGGCAGTGAGTCTATTCTTGTTGTCCCCCACAATGGGGCTCTGGAACCTACACAGTGATAATAACAATGAATTAAACTAACAACTGTTCTATTCTCACATGATTCAAATTTACAAAACCGCATTATCATCATCATCATGTGTGATGCCAAGTATGGGATCTCATGTTTTGCCACCTCACATGATCACCAGAATCCTGGATCAAGTCATTTTTCTTGTCTCACCCTATCCATACAACCAAGCCATCCAGGTATTTATCTGTGTACCTTCCTCTTGCTTTCTTCCCATCAGTCTCGCCAGTTGTTAGCAAGTTCTTGAGTCCATTCCTTCTCATAATATATCTATGACAAAAAATGTGGACTGTCTATGTCTAATTTTCTAATGAGTTTGCAGCTTTTATTTGTCTCAAGGGGGACTGCCTTGTGTGTTTCTCTATCATGCCATGATATTGTTTGAATTCCTCTCAAAAACCATTTCTCCATAGCAAGTAAATCTTCCTTATCTTGCCTGATTACTGCCCACATCAAACATGCATTTGACAACACAGGTTCCATTTAGCACTTTGTGACAACACAGGTTCCATATAGCACTTTGTGACAACACAGGTTCCATATAGCACTTTGACATTCATTTTTCTCATTGCAATTGATATTTTCTTATTTTTATTTTATGCATCTTGATAAAGACCACTTTCGGCATGGCGATTACACACAACAAATGCAAAGGACAAAATCTGTTGCCAAAATTTTCGAGTGCGTCTGCACCAAGATGTGAGGATCTGAAAATCTGAAAACAAATAAACCAGATCTTTAAAACAAACGTGCCTGCAAAACTCAAGTTTTTGAACAAGATCACAGTCTAGAAATAGACGATTGACTAGAACTTTCCACCAGAGTTTACAGTTGGTGAATGCTAAGAAGAAGAGAGGAAAAGACAGACATAATGATGAGAGCCAAACAGACCGGGCTATATCACTGGTTCTCCACCTTCCTAATGCCATGACCTTTAATGCAGTTCTTCATGTTTTGGTGATCCCCAAACACACAATTATTTTCATTGCTTCTTCTTATCTTCAATGAATATGTGTTTTTTGATGGTCTTAGGCGACCCCTGTGAAAGAGTCATTTGACCCCCAAAGGGGTCAATACCCACAGGTTGAGAACCGCTGGGCTATACAAAGAAACCACTTACTCAGATCTGTGACATTTTTTAGAACTTGCAGTATGCAGCGTCTGATGGTGAGATGCTTGTGTTTAGTGTCCAAATGCTGCCATTCGGAGTGACAGGCAAGAAGCTGGGGCACGCCATTCAAGTCGATAAGCCTTGCAGAGTTACTCTCTTGCAGAAAGATAAACAAACACAATTAATTAGTGATTTTCCCATGTGGGGAAAACCAAAATAGGCCCACTGTCTCCCCAACAAGCATGTCCTAGGAGCTGACTAACTGGGGCCATCCTTCAAAGTCGGAGTATATAGTCTGAGAGGCAAGGAACCAATAGTCTTCATACAAATGAGTCAGATCTGTGAGACGGATTTGCACGCAACACTCAGGTTCTGGAACAAAACCAAAGTCCAGAGGTGAATGAACACCCAAAACTTTCTGCCGCAGTTTGCAAGCACTGAACGAGATGAAGAATAATTAATAATTAAAGACAAGGCTGAAAAAGACTAAACAAATTGGTGGTTTCCGGGTGGAACAAAGAGTGCAATCTGCCTGAGAGGCAAGAAGAAGATGCAAACATCTGCATAGCAAACTTGCAAAAAATCCCAGTATAGGTCAAATGTCATGTCAAAAGAGTCGACAAATTCTGGAAAGTCAGAGTGCCAAAGCTAAGAGGCAATAACCAACAGTGAAACTAAATAACTAAAGATCTGTATGAAGCTAAATGCAAAACTCAAGTGTGGAAAAAAGCTAAATTAAATAATAATCTGTGTGAAGCTAAATTATATCATCTGTGTAAAGCTAAATGATAACATATGTGTGAAGCTAATTGATAACATCTGTGTGAAGCTAAATGATAACATCTGTGTGAAAGCTAAATGATAACATCTGTGTGAAACTAAATTATAACATCTGTGTGAGGCTAAATGATAACATCTGTGTGAAGCTAAATGATAACATCTGTGTGAAGCTAAATGATAACATCTGTGTGAAGCTAAATGATAACATCTGTGTGAAGTTAAATGATAACATCTGTGTGAAACTAAATAATAACATCTGTGTGAAGCTGAATAATAACATCTGTGTGAAGCTAAATGATAAAATTTGTTTGAAGATCAATTATAGCATCTGCTAAAGCTATTAAGAAGCTGCATGAAGCGAAATTATAGTATTTGTGTCAAGCTAAACTGCAACATCTGTGTAAAACTAAATTACAGTATTTTTGTGAAGAATTATAAATCTTTGTGAAGTTGAATTAGAGCATGTGTGTGAAGCTAAATTATGACATCAGTGTGAAAATCAATTTTAGCAACTGGGTGAGGCTAAATTATGACATCAGTGTGAAGATCAATTTTAGCAACTGGGTGAAGCTAATTACAGCATCTGCGTGAAGCTAAACTACAGTATGGACCCCAATAACATACAAATAAACAAGAACAGTATACAGGAGACAAAAGCTTCCATGCCTGCATAGCTGCTAGATGCTCACCTGCTAGCCGAGAGTTCAAATCTTCATCAAGAAAGATTGTTTCTTCTAAATTTACCTTAGCTTCCAGGTTGACCCAGCCTAAAATAAAGTAAAGGAAGCCAACATGATGGTGACCACATCACCCATTAAGTGCTAATCGGTCTACAAAAATATATGTCTAGCACTAGATGCTGATGCGCAACAGATGTGAAAAGAATCCTTTGCTTCTACAGAACAAAACAACAACAAAAACTTACTTGATTTTGTTAGGTTACATAGGTTCTCCAAGGCTAGCTTCAGATCAACAGTGTGTCTTTTTCCGCAAGAGAATATGATGTTCAACATTACATTCACTGAGTTGTGTTTGCCCAGGTAGGATGCATTCACACCTGAAATCAATTTAAATGATGTTTATTAACAGTGGCAACTGAACGAATGAACAAAAAACTTAACTTTTTTTAAAAAAGGTTAAGAGCCAGGCAGACGGCCCATCTAAAATTCTGCCTTTTTAAACTCCCTCCTTTCATATATTATTTCATTTATACATTTGTTAATAAGTAATAGTAAACATTATCAACAGCAGCTTAATATTAAATGCAAGCCTTGTAATGTGCTCTAATTTCTAACCACACAGTAAACCATAGTAATTGTAATAAATCTAGGGGAAATACATGCTATTTCTAAACTACTTCTATCTTGTTACGAGCAGCGGATGGCTGAATGGTAAAGAACACTGGGCTCTTATGCCAGAGACCCAGAAATGTCCAGACAACTGCTAGTATCCACAGTTATAATACAAAAAAAGATGGCGACAGATTTGACACAAAATGAGGAGATGCAAACAGAATAACCAAACAAGCACTTACATGAGAAACAAAAAAACTGAGGAAATGACGTTTAAAAGAAACCAAAAGATAACATTTATGTGATAGCCCAGAAATGATGAACTGGATTCTGTCCATGCTACTGGAATAACTGCACAGGACAGAATGAAAGAACAGACGATCTTTACTTTCAAAGGGTCACAAATTAGGCAAGCAGGCCTGTCTTAAATAATTTAGCCCTAGAATCCTTGAAAGAATAAAGTTTGAGTCTATGTCCCAAAAGGACGATGATGATGATGATGAGATTATCAAACCCTGGTATCCTGAGGATTGTGACATGCGTTCACTAACTTCTAACCCACTGAGCCACTTAAGCTAAAGTACTGTTATTAGTCTGCCACTCAATCAGGAAACCACCAGCCCCGGCACAAGACGACGATTTTATTATGGACAAACCAGAACAAGTCATTATCCTCTACCTCAGAACAGGGCACAACCGATTACCTAACCATACGTACACAAAATTCAAGATAGGTGTATCAGCCATGTGCACCTGTGGAAAGGTGCCCCAAAACAGCAGAGCCTGTACTCCAGGACTGCACCGAATTTGACAGATTAAGGCAAACCTTTTGGCCAGAAAGAACAACAGTGGAACGTAAACTCTATGAACCACTGAATGAACTAACAATAACAGTGAAATTTATACAAGAGACAAAACTGCTGATATAGACAACTTATTTCAGGCAAATGAAAGAAGAAGAAGAAAAAGTCTGCCACTCAATTTTAAAAAAAAAACTCACTGTTGTTTGTGTACATTTTCAACACTTGCAGAAGAGGCTGCAGATTTCGAAAGTTGTGAAAGTGCGTCTTCACCAAGTTTAATGTTAACATCAAGCTCTGGTGAAGTCTTGCTTTCACAGCAAATTTGCAATCTGAAAACGAAACAAGCATAAATATCAATGCAAAGTTTCTGTTGTAAACATGAGCAGAGTTGAGTTAAGCAGTGACATCACAGCATTCAACACATTCTCATAAGTGCCCCGTCCCCAACTTTAGCAGTCAGCTCAGGGTTTCAATTCTGATGATATCAATCTGTTTATTGCCCGCCATGAACCTAGTCTGCCCGAGTTGATGTGGACACTGTAATCCCTGTTTTACTCTGCCATCAGACAGTTAGCAGACTGAAGGCCTAATCTCTTGTTCAAAATGCTCACATTAAATGTGATCTTACTGCAGTGCTTTTCTCAATTACACACTGTTGTGTTTTTTTGGTTGTTTTTTTGCATTTGCATTTAAACATGTGTTTGGCATGTTGTGTTATGGTTTACAGCCAGATTGTTGAGTTTTTCAGTGTTTGGTCCAACATACGTGATTTCAGCAAACATTCTAATAACATGCTCTTTCTCTCTCTTTCTCTCTCTCTTTCTCTCTCTTTCTCTCTCTCTCTTTCCCTCTCTCTTCTCTCTCTCTCTCTCTCTCTCTCTCTCTCATTTTATTTCCTAACACCCCCCTTTCCCCCACATCAAATAAAATACCTGCTAGTGATACTAGTTACTTAAGCTACCGTGTGTCGACAAAATCCCATCTTTTATGTTATCTAATGTGTAGTCAGCTTACAGTTTCAATACCTTTATGGCCAATTCTACTGAGTAAAACATGGATGGCAATCAGAACATCATCTGACAAACAGATGTCATTTGTATGAGCCAGTTTCATGATCTGGAACAGCACAGTTGTCAGTCCATGGTTGACCAGTATTGAGGCTCTCTTTGCTGGATCTAGCACAGATCAAACAAAACAATCAGTCAGTGCTTTCTTTTAGAAAGAGGAAAAGGTCAACACTGAAAACAAGAAACTTATCAAGAAAATCACAATATAAAAGAATTACTAGTTTTTTTTGTTTTTTTTTTATGTATGCCACCTCCCCACTGAAGGCCAGATACTGTGAACCAATTATTTATTTGGGAATAGTATTTGGTGTTGCTCCAAACTCTTTCATTGAGCAATTCTCATACTAAAATTAAAAAACCATAAACAAATTTTAACGGAACCCTGGTACTCAAGGATTATGAAACTGTTAAAGGCATTCCCTAACCCAGTGGTCTCCAATGTCAAGGAATGACAAGCCATTACACATCACCCTAACAGAGTAGGGACCTGTATTACCTGTGCTCGACACAACTTTCAAACTTGGACTCGTCCGGGAAGGTATATAGTTCCTTTTATCGATATATGCCTTTATCGGACAAAATTATAATGTCTACATCTTGTAGTTGCTTTGACTTAGTGTCATTTTCAAATTTGCAACTATATATTAAATATTGCGGCAGTTAATTGAACATTCTTGGAAACCGGTTTACTCCTTGCTCATGTATACACAGAACTTCTTCTTACCGACGCCTAAACTTGAATTTTTGCGGCATTTTTTCTGCCGGCTTTCCTGGAACTCAGACGTGTCCATCGACGCCAGTACATTTCATTTTAAGAAGGCAGTCTGTAGCGCCTAGGACTTTTCCTATGCTTGGGTAAGTTAATTATAGTTTACGAGAACCTTAAATGATGTCTGTTAAAGTGGTCACTGCTGTAGAGAGATCAGAATCGGTTATGAGATCACACATAGTTCTACCGTTTGTGGTCTCCATGGAGGCGGATTCGAACTTAGACCCTCCTCTGTACAGACTAAACAGCCTATGCCCTAAATAACCCACACATACTGGCAAAAATAATGACCTTACAAGTGTGTACCATTTAAACTAACAACAGAAGTTTGTGCATACGAATGGGGACAGAGAATTTAAGTCAGTACTTGGGCAGACATAGCGCGTGAGTGTGTTTGACCCAGATCAATGGATGTGTGGAAATGACTTGAGAGTCATAGGGAATAGGGGTACTGACAGTAAATAGTGGTGGCTGTGTGCGAATGGGAGGGGGGAGAGATTGATATATGTGTGAGAGTGTCTATCTATCTCCACTATATATCTGACTTTCCATCTCTTGCACTAAACAGACAGATGAATGATAGGAGACATTGTCTCCTGGTCTTGAGAGTGCACTCTGAGGAATGTAACAGAGGAGCAGAGGTGGAGTAGGCTGATGTGGGATGGTGACTGATGCTTATTCTGTCTGTCCTGTCAAGATGATACCCTCTTGGTGATGACTAATTCTGAGTTTTTTTCCTAACAGGGTGAAACTTTTGTGAAGAGCTGGCAGAAAAATCACAGTCCAACCAACACCCACCAACCAATTACCCACCAATCAATTACCAACCAACCTATCACCCAACTACCCACTAACTACCACTTGTGAAGTTCCAGACCTCAACACAATGGGGTGCCATATACCCCAAACATCCTACAGTGCCAGAGCATGTGTGTAGCTCAGGGACAGTGTGGCGAATGACTAGTGGGAGAGATTTGTTAAGTGCCTATCCAGTTGCTGTGTCCTTTATGGTGAGGAACTCCTCCACCATCTGATCCAGTTGAGGCAGAATTACCAAAGACAGTCGAATCATCAGGAGCTGAGGGAAGCATCAATGATAGAAAGAGGATAAGTGCCAGTTTAATACCATGTGTTGCTATATTCCCCACAGCTCCCATGTTTCCCAATGATGAAGATGTGTCGTCTCCAGGACTTTCTGGCTGTTCAGTTTTTCTGTTGAATCTGGTCATCGTATTCTGGGATCCAGCTATTGAGATCTGGCATCTACTTCACTATTTTATGTATGTATATGTTGTATTGATTACATGCATTCATTTTCATGGCTGACTTAGGTGTCTCTATTTCACCTTTTTAAGTGTTTAGCATTTGTGTGTGTATGAATCATAAATATATGTGTTAACATGGTTATGATAATGAACTATCATAACCTGGGGGCTTTCTTTAGTAAGTAGTGGGGGTGTCCAGCCAAGTGTGCCTAGGAATATTGTATTTATATACAGACATATTTTGTAGTGCCAAAAATTGAGTTGCCCTACTCCAGAAATAAGTTGATCGTATATTGGCCACGGGGAATCCCTTAGACCAAAACGAGCCAAACGACTCAACATAATTATCTCTGAGTGCTGTTGGTTCTGAAGGAGAAATCCTTATATCAGGCACGTGACAGGAGTGATATGTGACATCCAACCATTTTCAGGTCATATCCCCTTGAGTATATGGCGAGACCACCACGCCTCCCCCTGAATCTGGCTAAATTGCAACCTCACCCCCCCCCCTTTCCCGAGTATATTGCAAGATCCCCATGCCTACTCCCACCTCCTCACCCCCCTACCCCCACCCCCCTCCTGAGTATATTGCAAGATCTCCATGCCTACTCCCCCCTCCTCACCCCCCCCCCCCACACCCAACATAACAAAATGTGATTTTTTTAAAAAGAAGACAATATATTCTGCAAGAAGGGAAACACAGTATAGAGAAACATTTTGGTAAGTATGTGTTCTTAATCTATAATTAAATGTCTGTGTTCTCATATTGATTAGATTTTTAACTGTAGATATACAAACTGCCTATGAAAATTAAAACTGTGCTTGGTGTTTTTTTTTCCTTCATAAAAAGTTTTTAAAATATAGTATTATTTCATTATCAAAACTGGAAAAAAAAAGTACAAAGGATTATTACAATTACAAATGCACTCAATTTAAAAATTGTTCATGCCCCCTTGAAACCTCCTCGCGCACCTAGCACAGGACCTTCATGTGGCACCTAAAATCCAAATTCCTGTGTGAAGAATGTTGGCTAGGATTCTGTTTCCCCTTGTTGTGATTTTTGTCGAGAAAGGCTCCGGCTAAAACTTCAGATTTTTATTTCTTTATGTACATTGTTTCTTTCAACCACCTCCCCTTCACTAAGCTTCTTATTCACAGTTCAGTGTTTAAGGTAATGTCACGTGCAAGTCACGCACCAAAGTACACCAATACTGAATAGTGCAAAAAAAGACGTAAGAAGTTGTTACGTATTGTTGTTAGGAGATTGAGCTCCAAGCAGTTGCAGCCAAGAAGTCAAAGAAGGCAGATGTGTATATCCGAGTGTGGTTCATTCCTAGTGGAGGATTTACCCCGGGATCCCACAGAGAAGATCAGCTCATATGCTGGGATGTAAAACATTATCTACCTGAGCCATGGTTATCAAGAGACTATAAGAGAACTAGAATCAGCGTTCCTGCTGAATGTCGACCTATTCTAGCTTATCAATATTTTCGGCTGCATATTTAAATCAGTGTAAAAACCGTTACTGTTTTCCAAGGTCAAGGCCATGACCTATAGAAGTTTCTTGATGTCAAAATAACTGTGATTAGATATCTGTCTAATCTTCATCGAGAGCGAGTGTGAGGACGTTAGGAGTGATTTGCTTTATATTACATTTTTGGGAGTTCCATTGCATTTATTCATATTCGCTCGCAATGTTTTTTTAATTCAGCCGGAAGAGACAATGACAAGCTTAATCTCACATGAAGAGGTAGTAAGTCGTTGACAGCATTAACATTTTTTTTTAAAGGGTATTCTGGAAACCACAGTATCTCGTAACCTTTGCTTTGCAGCGATTTCAATAGCCAGATCGGGATAAATTCAAATGCCAGTTAACTGGCAAAAAGTGTGCAAAGAGTTAAAAGTGAAAGGTCAAATATTGGACTACTTGTCTAGTAAAATGCCCAAGATTGGCCCATCTGGGCAAAAAACACATTTATTAGCGTCTGACAATGAAGACACCCTTTGGGAAACACATGGAAACCTAGATAAATACTTACGAACTTTGCCAACTATCTCATTGAAGATGTTGATAATGTTGCCTACAGTATTCTCACATGCAATAACCTGCAATTATTAAAAATGGCATTTTGTCAGTACTCTCAGTAGTCTAAAAATCAATATACAACAGTTAACTCTTTATACATCAGTTAACTCTTTTAGGCCGTAGCAATGCACAGAGTATAAGTGACACCATCAGTTGATTTCCCTTCGTGGCATAATGTGATCTCTTAGGTTTAAAATTTAGTCTGAACAAACCAAAGAAATCTGGCTTCTCAAGTACAATTACCACTGTAAGTATTGCCACCTGGAAAGTAATGCTTGCATGCTTTATCATCACTGTTATTTCTTAATTTTGGCATCTCCTGTTTTAAACCTTCCAGTACCGAAAGAGTTAAGATAAGAAAAAACACCCTTTTCATGCCGGTGGTGCACTGTGTATTTGATGCCAGACTTCTATAGACCAAGCAGTATTGGTCTGGGTGATATGGTAAATATCTTGCCAGCCGCCTTTACTTCCCAGAACATTGCCCGGAGCCCATTTTAGAGTGGGTCAGTCTAGAATCAGTTAACATATTTTAACCAATTAAACTGCAATAGATCAGTATCTCCACAAACCTATACAGAAACAGGTGGTCACTGTTGCCCCTTTTCCATTTCCATTTTTCCTTAAATCAAACTTGTTATTTATTGATAAAGACTTTGGTCAGAATTTTCACTTGCCACCTGGGTCTCTTTTTTCGGCAAACTGACTAGTGGTTTCTTTTTTTTTTTCTTTTTTTTTCTAAGTCATTTAAAAAACTGCAGACGTGTTTTTTAGTCTATATTCATAATTTATGTGAACTCAGCCACACTGCTTATATTCTTAATTTAGGTCACTTCCATCTGGTTTATAGTCTTGTTTTTCTGTCATCTTCTTTCTCTTCTTCAGGAGCTTATTCTTGAGCAGACTGGCACTCACTGTCATTGGTCATTCTGATAAAGCTGGTGCTGCTTATATTATTATTCACACACAACTGCTTCAGCTATTCAGATACCTCTTTCTCTGTCTTCTCTGCCTCTGTTGCTTAGTATTTTCCCCACATTAGGTTCATTTCTCTACGCCCCCCCTTCTGCGATATTCCTTATAAATGTCCTGTATTTTCTCCTCATGGTTTATTCTTTCCGCACAGGACTGCCGCTTACACCTGCCTGGTGTAGCTGTTATGGATGTCCTATTTATAACTTCTTCTAAGGTTGAACGGGAGTCGCCGTGGCCGAGCGGCTAGACGCTCGTCGCGGATCGGAAGGTCGTGGGTTCGCTCCCTGGCAGAGCGGGACTTTTTTCAAAAATGACCTTGGCTTCCAGGTCGACCCAGCCTTGAGTGGGTACCGGGTGCAGTCCCGGGAAAGTAAAGGCGGCTGGCGTGATGCTGGTCACATCACCCATTTTTTTCAAATTGGTCTATAAAAATATAGGTCTAGCACTATATGCACTTTATGCCTGATGGCGTGGAAAAGGGTCCTTTACTTTACTTTCCTAAAGGTTGAACAGAATATCTGGGATCTACCTTCTTTTTTCTGCCGTCCAGATCTGCATTTTTCATCTCAGGATGATATCGTAAAACTTTAGGTAGCAGCCAAAAGGGGACAAACTGGTCGATGGATCTCGTGGTTTCAATGAGTTGTTCTTTGTTCATCATGAGTGATGAAGACCACTTTTAATTCAAATTAGTAATGATCAATGATAATGAGCACGAAGGTGGCTGATTAGTCCAATATCAGCTTTAAAGTTCTTGAGCAGTGTGCTGCTTCCCACATCGCTGTGTTGATGCTAAAAGAATCGAGAGCAGTCTTGAGAGTGTCCTTATAGCACTTTTTCTATCCTCCCTGGGACCTCTTTCCTTGCTGGGGCTTGCCATAAAATACTTTCTTTGGAAGGCGATAGTCTGTCATGTGGGTTAGGTTAGTGAGTGATCATGTCACACCAGTAGACCTCATTATTTTAGTGACTTATTTCTTCTGTGCTGAGTGAAATAAAACTGAAGGACCCGTGTCATGCCTCTGATGCAATAAGCAGATTGTGCTGACCCAAATTGTTTACAGAACAATTGACATTCTGACCCAAATTGTTTACAGAACAACTGACATTCTGACCCAAATTGTTTACAGAACAATTGACATTCTGACCCAAATTGTTTACAGATCAACTGACATTCTGACTTAAATTGTTTACAGAACAATTGACATTCTGACACAAATTGTTTACAGAACAATTGACATTCTGACCCAAATTGTTTACAGAACAATTGACATTCAATTGTTGATGTGGTCAAACATCCGCTGCCTTTACTTCCCATGACATTATTTGGTACCCATTTTAGGCTGGTAACGCCTCAATGCAGATTTGAACCCTAGATCTTCAAGCCGGCAACCAAGGGACTAGCCAATAGGCTACCGCTGCTCCCCCACATCATATTTTTTCTATGTTGTCAAATACAATAAACTTAAATACAAACAATATAAGAATAACGGTAACACCAAGAGGGTAAAGAGACTGACAATTACTGTCTTTATGATACTATTTTGCGGTATAGGTAGGGGGTATTTCAGCCTGAGGATTTACGGCTGCATGGCTAGTGCTGTCGCCATGACTGTGCAGGTGAGGATTTTATTTTGCCCGAGACAGAAAAAATCCCCAGCCTTACCAAGGATTCGAACCTGGGTCTCCCGCTTGAGAGTCCAGCGCTCTAACCGTTCGGCCAGCTGCTCCTCGGGTAAACAGACAAACAAAATCATGAACTGGCATACAATTAGTCAAATACAATAGAAAATCACAGTTACGAAATGAAGTCACCCCTGGTGTGTTACAATAAATTCACCTGAAGAACTGTAATGAGAGTATCAATTGCCAGTGGCTGTTTCAGAAAAGCATCTTTGCTGGGCTTATCTGAAATACATCCAATTTAAAAACACAAAAGTTTATGTTGAGCGACAGTGACACAATGGTTAATGCATTTTCTTGCTAATACAGCCTTAGGCATTTTGTACATGTACAAGTGTTAGATTTTGCCAGGACTGATCTGTCTCAATCAATCAGGTGCCATCTCCATAATGAAGGTTGACTGAAACAGATCTTCAACGCTCTCTGTCTATGGTTCTCTCAGACGTGTTTATCTATTGTGCATGTTTTCCTCCCATTTTCAATATTCAACTTAGCGTTTTTAAATTTATTTTATTATCATAATTATCTAATAACATATTCATATTTCTCCCCTCTTTCAACATACGCCTTCTTACTTATTCTATTTCATATTACAGCCCTTCATATTCATATTTTACCCCCCATTACGTACTTCTTGGTTTTATACTGACCCTGATTTTTTAATAAGCTCTGTTATCTTGTCCGTTGAGTTTTCCAGTCACAGTTTGTGCTGATTTTAAGACTCCTTTGATAAAGACTAAAACATTTGGTTGTATTTGTGTGCGTCTTTTTCATTACTTCTATTCAGTTTTTCTAGTCACATTTTATTTTATACTAGCTGTACCCAGCCATGCAGTGCTGTGACTTAGTTTGGCTAAATGGAAGAGAATGTAAACCTATTATGGTTAATTTCGCAATCATTGTCAGCGCAGATAAATTGATAGTCTGGTTGGCGGACTCTAGAACATGCAGCATATAATTGTGTCTGTATATTAGTGATTGTTTGAATTGTATTATTAGGACCCCCCAAAAAAGGTTATTTCTCTGTCACATGCTAAATCTCTTAGTATTTTTTTAAAGAGCTGAAAAAAGCTATAGATTTAGCACACTTATATCAATGCCCAACTCTTTTTCTCAAGCCTTTGACTTTTCCCTCCAACATGGTTTTTAAAAGAGTGTTATGTTTTTTTAATGTGGCCAAAATATTTATTCTGGCTCTTTTTTATTTATTTCAACAACTCCCTTTTTGTAGTCTCTAGGGGTCTCTCTTGGACACCTGTACTTGACTATGTTTGTATTCTTCTGGTTATCCACATCTCCAATTTGACTCAATTTAATTTTCTAGCTGATGGCTTTTTGTCCAGATTTCTGACTGTAAAATACACCTGAGTGTACGTAACAAGTGATAATTTTCATTTTTAATCTATTTTTTCTTTTACCTCTCTTGATGTCAATCATTTCTGCATCTTGTTGAAAATAATTGTGGACAATCCTTTTTTTTTTTTCATGTTTCACTTCTGTCTTCATCTGCTATTACTTGTCCATGATGGGAGAAACTTCTGACTTGTTTTAACATTCTCTCAATTTACTGTGATCTTTGATGTTCATCACTCACTTTCACTGTCAATTGTCAGTTGATTATGCTGCTTTTTTTTTCTAATATTAATATCGGAACCATACTCTGCATTTTACATATTTCCTATACAGGAAAACCAAACCCAGCTATTTGTGGTTTTACTAGGCAATTTTATATTCAGTAGTTTGCCACTGCTTTCTGAACAAACAACACACAACATTGTTGAAATCAACAAAAAAGCGGTCTGTTGCCAAATCAGCTGTAAAGTATTAACAATCCTGAAACACTCCTAATATTCTAGAACGTAAATCAAAACCACTCTAGCATTTACATGTGCAGCAAAACCTCTTTAACATGAATTCCAAGGGATCAAAACATCTAGAATTTTTGGTTTAAAAAAATGTTTGCTTACTGAGAACTAATGCAATAATACATGTACATCTCCACAAGGACCAACATTTTTTATGTTAAACGTATGTTCTTCTTAAGCAAGTTTGTGTTAATGAGGTTTTACTATATAATCCTATGTTTACACTTTAAATGAACTATACTACTCTCTGCTGGACATTGAAACTCACTCACCTGCTTGTTGAATGAGAACCAGAAGTCGTGCTGTTGCACTATTTATAAGCTGCACATCATCTGCTGACATTTTCTTGACTGATCTGTTTAACAACCTGCCGATATGCTGGACCCAAAAATTGATTCTGCCCCTGTAAAAAAAAAATTACACTAGAGGGTGACAACTGTACGAAGGCACTTTCCTTCACACTTACGGTTGCCAGATTTTGTAAAATTAAATAAAAATTACTTGTTTGTTTATAATGACATTTTTCACAACTAATAGGCTATAAATATATATAATCATTATACTAAACTCACTTCACAAGAACAAAATTTGGGTGACAAAACTGAGGAATCCAGGGGAAATGGAGTATCTGGCAACCCTATTCAGACCAGTCTTCAAGATGTAGAATAAAGAAGGGAAAGAGAAGCAGAAATAGGAGAAGGTTTAAATTTGAGAGGATCTATTTCCTTGCACCACGTTGTATACCATATGAATCAATACCTCTCTGCAGAATAGCTAGCTGTCCACTGAGAGCACTGCACAAAGTACAAACTCTATAGCTCAGGCAATGACCCTGAGGGATCTCCCTAAAACTGGACATCAACCAAACGATTAACTCCTTGTAATGAATCCATGACTTACAGAGCACAAAGCAAACAGCTTAACATTTAGCCACAGATACACCCCCCCCCCCCCCTCCCGCAAATCCCACTCCCAGTGAGAAGGGGAAAAAAGCATTAGGAGAAGGAGAAATAGATGAGAATGATAAGAAGCAATTGGAGCAAAAGCTTGGAATCGAACGAAGAAGTTAACTCTTTCAGCCCCAGGGTGTGTAGCAATAGAGGCCCAAGGGGTGGTCAAAAGAAAGGTATAATCGGCGCATCTTGCATTCCTGGTCTTCCAGGTAGGAACCTATGAACGTATGATGTGTTCCTTGGGACTGAAAGAGTTAAAAGTACAAAAGTAGGAGGAAAATACAGGAGTGGTAGTGGGGCTGGAGAGGATTCCATTCAGATGGCATACGCTGCAGAAAATGTGGCTCCCAATTGTGGTAACAGTGCAGGAAGTGTTCAACTTAAAATATTTTCAGTTGTTCTGTCGCAATTTTCTGAATGTTGTCGATAGTTCAAAAACATTGATGTTTTGTTTGCAATCTGAGCTTGGGGAAAAGCCAGAAGCAACAGATCTGATGAGAATGGCATATTCAACACTTAATTTTTTTTTAAACTTAATTTTTTTCAATTTTGTGTGTATGTGTGCTTAAAACAGTTGTCATGAATGTGGCATTTTTAAAACAAATTCCCTATTACACAAACAAAAAAACCCTGTCTTATCATAATTGTTAATGTTCTAGAATCAAAATTTGCACTGAATACAAGTAGAAATAAAGACATCTCTATAATATTTTACAAGAAGCCTATAAAACTGATACCTATGGATGATGAATAAATGGATGGCTGGATGTATGTTTGTATGCATAATTGAATGTAAGCATTTGCATTTCAGATTTTACTTTATATTCATGCTGTTTAAAAGTTAGTACGGAATGTTCTACCAGCCTACATACCAAATCTGTGACCCACTGAAAATAAAATTTGTTCATTTATTCATTTAATCTTCATTCTCGTTGATGTCAACAAGACAGCTGCTTTAAAATCAGCTTAAACTTAAAGTGTTAAACATTCAAAGTATTGTCCTTTCCTCAAAGAGCTATGAGGCAAAGGTGGCCACATCTAGCAGACAAGACACGTTAGCTTCAGAAAAACCTAAGAGATCTCAGACTGACATCCCTGTTTATGGCCCATAGTGGATTTAAGTGCATTACCAGAGATTGATGAAGAAGAAGAAGAAACTTTCAAAGTCATAACACACACAAAGATGCTAAAACAGTTACCCACTCACCTGTCCACAGACTGCTCAGAGCTAGAAGATGCTGAACTCATGCTTATAATTCTAACACTGTGACCTGGCCCAAGTTTCTAACAGATCAAACAGATTCCTAGTAACTGCCTGCATTTAGCTTAGGTTGGATGTCTGAAAGTGACAAAGTTTTCATTTAGTTTAATACGAGTAATAATATTATCATTCTTTACAAACTGACAAAAGTAATTATAGCATATTTTTACATCAAAGTTGATTGGTTTGCTGTTTAGTTGCTTTGTTGATTGGTTGCTTGGTTGATTGGTTGGTTGGTTTGTTGGCTGACAGATTATCCTCACTCCGCATCAAACCATTCAGTCCATTAGTGCTCAGATCCCCTCCTCAGTCTTCTTCTTCTTCTTCCATTCGCCTGAAATAAGTTGTCTATATCAGCAATTTTGCCGCTTGTATAAATTTCACTGTTGTTGTTAATTCATTCAGTGGTCCATAGAGTTTACGTTCAACTGTCGTTCTTTCTGGCCAAAAGGTTTGCCTTAATGTGTCACTCTCCTCAGTAAATCCTGCAACATGCAGGGGCTGAAAATACCAGCCCTGTGTTAGTTTCTTATTCTTCTTTGGCTTCCTGCAAAGTGCTCTTGCCTGCCCACACCCCTTTTAAGATGCTGTTTTTGCAGACGGTTCATGGTTGCAGATTCACAGTCATCATCTGGTTCTCTTAAACATCTTACTTCTCATAAAGAATTAAGGATATCAGTATGGTCCATGGCATGTCTGTCCACCACATTAGCTTCATCGTTGCTGCGAAGTTTGTGCGTCTGTGCGAAACCATATTCAAGTTTGTCATCCAGCGTGTATGTCAAAGTCAGTTATGTAAGGAGTGCCATTTTTTCATTCATCTTTATCAATGTTTCTTAATAGGAAGCAAAGGTGGCTGGTGTAATGTTGGCCACATTACCCTTTCTTATCGAAAATGTCTATAAAGATATGAGACTAGTATCATATACCTGATGAGCCACTGGCATAAAAATGGTGAATCACTTTCTTACTTACTTCTTCATTCATTAATTTTATCATAATTTCATTACAATACTCATTCTCATCGTCTTGATAATCATTTCAATTAATATCCCAGTGGGGGTTCTGGAGCCCCCATTTTTCTTGAACGGGGAGGGGGGGGGGGGAGTGGGAAGGCACAGACCCAATGAATCTTAACAACATGCCTCTCTACCTTATGTATTTACTGCACAAGCATATTTCTGGATTAAGCCAGAACTAACTGTTTGTTCACCAGTTTTCATATCGGACAGTGAGGGACATTTCATTTGATTCTCACTGGCAAGAAACAAAGCATTTATGGGGTGACCTGATAGAAGTGAAGCTGAAACCTTGACTACAATGACAAATATGAGCCTACTCTCCATAATTATCTTATTTTGTTGTCATTAGCCTACCTCCATAATTGTCATCTTTGTAATCAATATTACAATTGCTTTTCCTTTAGATCTGGGGGGCTGCGTGGTCTCTGGGCATGGTGTCCGCCTCGAGTGCTGGAGGTTCCAGGTTCAATCCCCGGTAAGAGCTGAGATTTGTTCATACGAACCTGGACTTCTAGTAATTTCCCCTGGTCTCTGGGTAGTGAGATCAGACACCCGAGTGCATTATTGAGCACATATAAAATCCCATGGCAGTTGGAAATCGAAAAGAGTAGCCTAACTGCGCTGCCGGTGCTACAGAGCCTGTGCACTGTGCTGAGCTTCTTCAGACTCAGACTTGAGTTAGAAGAAGAACTGAGCACTTATGGGTTACTACCCGTGTGCCATGATGTTGGTTCACTGATCAAACTTCAAACTTCCGTCACATCAGATATTATCATATTCTTGTTCTTCATAATATTTTTTCAGTTTATTTTCCACTACCGTTATCACCTGTATCATCATTTTAATCAACATTATTATTGCTATTATCAATTATTGCTATTGTTATTATTTGTATATTATTTTGCTATAATTATTCTTGGCCATGATGATACTTTTTTCATTATCATCAGCATGTAGAAACAAGATGCCAATGAGCTAGTACACTTATATACCAACTGACATCATTATTAAGACATTCAGGTGCTTCACATGAAAAGACCAGATGTGTGAGCAGGTGGCTGCCCAAGGAAAATATGGATTGATGACATTAAAGAGGAACTTCTATATCAACACTGAATGACAATAGCCACTGCTCAAGCAATGGATAGCATTTTGTTCCTCCCCATGAAGCTTAATGGCAAAAATTGAAATTGATGACGATGATCAACATGCTTATTGATGTTGTTATTGTTTGTTATTGTTTTATAAGCTTCCTCTCATATTTATACTATACTCCTCAATATTATTGTCATTATTTTCAGAGATCATCTTTCCCACTAGTAACATCACTTCCTGGATATCACCTGTTCCTCCATTATTATATTTTCTGTATTTATCATATTTTTGGACATCAAAACCTTCGCTGCAGTCAGTTTCTTGTTTATTGCCATCAGCCACACAAATAAAATCACATTTTACACTCCTGCCGCCTCCAGTGTAACTAATTTGTTTCCATTACAGAAGAATTTGCAGAATGTCAACATCAATAAAAGGAGTATTAACCCAATTGCCCCAAGAAAGCGAGTTTTTCCTCCTTTTACCGATTTTTAAGGACGTATCTTTGGGCAGTGGCCATTAAGTCTGTATAACAGCTTTGGTACTAACTGAAACTGCATAGTGTGTAAACATTGTGAATATGATTACATATTTATTTTAACATATCTGTGAGATATATGCTATGAAAAAATTTTGCTCTCCTTGACTGTGTCAACAAAACCCTTGTGTTCTTGAGCAAAGAGAAGGAAAGCCATTTTTTTTTTTTTGCCCTGTTTGCATTCAGTGGTTACTTCCCTTCATACAAAAAAAATTATCTTTGCACCAAAATAAAATTACTCAAAATATTCAACAAGCCATCTTTTAGTGACTTGGGACCCATGATGATGCAATAACTAGCAGGTGGCTCATGTTCAGCCTGCACAGTTATCATTGGTTTCAACCTCTTGGATTTGTATAAAAGACTGATCAAGACACAAAATTTCATTTTGCTCTTTTTTTCTTTCTGCAATTTCTTAAGAATTATTATAATTTGTTTCTTCCTAACAAAATTTTGAAAATGGTCATTTTTAAAGATTGTTATGGGGTGAAGGCGTTAAAAACTCATTTCTTCAACTAGAATGGGCATAGTGTGTTGGATGAAATACTGCTCGGTTACACTTATTTTTTTTAAGACCTTTCCCACTAAGCTGGTCTTATATTTATAACTACCTAGAAAACAAAGGGAAAAGGTAAAGACATAAAGGATCCTTTTCACACCTTTGGGCCTAGGATATGATACCACAACATCCAGCTTAAGAATGGAGGTGGTCACTGAAGCTTTCCGCTGGCTAGAGAACACCACACACACACACATCGTGATTGTAACATTCAAAAAGCATGCTGAGGAAGATCAGAACAGGTATGCTTCATACAGAGTGGCTAGCCTCGCTGGGGAGGACATGGGTGAGGAGTATTGTCTGGATTTTTTCACAGGCGGACACACTGGCTGGCTCTGCACAACTTTGTGGAATACTGATACATGATAAGGCAGACGTGGTTAGTGCCTTGTGGGAGAGCGTGTACAATGCAGAGGAGCAGATGGATCACCACAGTCTGGTGAGATTGAGGCAGCGGGGAGTGACAAGAGGTTCTGGCAGATGCTCAAGGCTCAGAGGAAAGGCAAGACGGACGTTTAATCAGAATGCTACTGGCACCATTAGTATCGGAACTTTTCGCTGGCTGCTGAAGATGGGGACGGAGCGCTTATGGGAATGCCCCGAGTGCTTAATGTCAGTTCTTGAATCGAATCAAATCAAATCACACCTCTGGCCATTGGGTATATAGTACTAGACTTACATTTGTATAGACCCACTGACACTTGATAGGTCTGTGGTCAACATCACGCCAGCTGCCAGTTTCCTAGGCCTTTACCTGATATCCATTTGTTTAATCTTGACTCCATGTACTATGGCCGTTTGACAAGTAATGTCTCCAAGGATATAACTTTGTTAATATACATTATGTACACACAAAATATACATTTTCAGAAAGCTTGGGATGTCCTTTAAGTAAGGTGTCTTTATTATTCCAAGTGGTCACCATCACATTCCATGCACGGCGACGCACGTACGCACCCACACACACTAACGCTAAACAGGTTTTGGAAACCCATCGAGAAAGAAACCAGGAATGCATACCAACTGCCACATCCTGGTCAGAAAAATATCTGTTTCCTCTGAGATGTTCCTGGAGCTTTGGGGACAGGAAATAGTCATAAAAAGTCATCAAAGTTGAGATGCTCCAATGCTGCCTTTCTTTGTCGACTCTATTAAATGTGTCGGTGAGCACTGTCATGTTGAAAAACTGCCTGTCTGTGAGTTTGCCAAGACAAAAATGCAGAAATCTTGCTTGTACTTTTTGCATCGTTTCCACATAGGGATTAGAGTTGAAGGTATTGCTATGGTTTAAACATTCTTCATGGATTACATGGCATGCAGATGAGGTGATCTGCCCAATGAATCTCTGACTGCATTAGGATGGTAGCGATACTGGGAATGCCAGCTCTATCCAGTATGACAGTATCCGGAACCCTGTCTTGCCACTTGATGTTCAGTATCTTTCTCAGATGTACTGTGTGGAAGTGGTTTAGCTTCTTTGCCTGATGCTGTATATAGTCCCTATTTCACAAGCATACATACAGTGGTTAGTGCCTTGTAGGAGAGTGTGTACAGTTCAGATGAGCAGATGGATCACCACAGTCTGGTGAGATTGGTGCAGCGGGGAGTGACGAGAGATTCTGCCAGATGCACATGGCTCAAAGGATAGGCGGACATTTAATCAGAATGCTACTGGCACTATTAGTATCAGACCTCTTCACTGGCTGCTGAAGATGGGGATAGAGCGCTTATGGGAATGCCCTGAGTGCTGTGATGTCGGTTCTTGAATCAACT